TTACTATTTAAAACAAAAACATAATTTTGGGGGCTGCTTATAGAAACACATTGTGACCTTGAAGTTTTTCATCTAAGAACCAGTTTTGTAATCACATTGTTCAGGCTTAACTTCTAGCATGTGAGAACTAACAGTCAGTGGAACTGCATGCGCGCATCAAGAACGTTTCAAAGTGTTTGCAGTTTGGGGCCTATATTTGCAAGTGAAATGCTTTGTATGGTTTGAGATTTTTACAAAATCAGTGGTATTCAAATGTAGCACCTTTTAAACATTTGTCTTTATTCCAACCTAATACAATAACACATCCGCATTAAATAGATCCCTTTCATTTTATAAATAAGCATTGCCTGGCAGTAAAAGTATTGGTGTAACATTTTCAAATAAGGAAGTCATGCTTTTTATCATGTTGTATGTGACTTAAATGACTGTTTCATATTAAAACTAATCTTTCCTTATGTACTGCTTAAATATACCTGTTTTAGGATATCAGTTCAGTACTTTTTATACAATCTTGAATGTGTTCCACATTGGTGACATGTATTTTTGCAACGACTTTTTTGTTTCAATTTTAAATTAGAGCATGTCTGAAGTAATACATGCATTAGTGCTGTGGTGTGTGGCAAAGTTAATGTATGTAATTCAAATTGGAAAAAAGTTTCCAGACTTTGTCCAACATTAACCCTGTGGCCAGGGATTAAATTACTATGTAATACAAATTATTTCATATCATGATGTGTTTTAAGCTACTCTATGAAGTATGTGAAACATTATTGTTTATGGATTGGTAGCTGGTGTGGTATCTTGCATAGAATGAGGTATGATAGATGGTAGCAATTCATGATAATAAAACTGACTACCTTTCAGAACACGCAGCACTTATGTGCATTGTCATCTTGTCGCCACAACTGTTACAATGAGTTTTGTATTATTATCCTCTGACAAATGGGTGAACATCTGGTCGTACGCTCATGGGTGTGAAAATTCTATTCTAACACGCTTTACTTGGTTTACAAAACATGCCATTTTTTATCTATTGGATGTGATTAGATGTATGCAGGAGGATGTAGAACTGGATGTATTTTAAAGTTATTCTGCAATTACTGAGTTTTGTCTGAAGCTTTCTATATTAGAATAGACTTCCTTAAAATTGGAAAATTAAGTGTACTTAGCAGAACTCTTGAGGCAATATAACTATCCTATACTACATCTTGAGTTATGCACATTCACTTCTTTGTATGGAACTCCTGATTTCTTGTGGGCTTAAATTTTACATGGAAATAAAGGATCCCATTAGCGCCCTAGTGTTGTGTGTCATCAGTTCTGAGGTGATGAATTCTAAATGGTGTTCAGCCCCTTAGAGGTGCTGCCTGTGGCTTAAAAGTATTCAATATTGCCCTTAGCTTCCAGGTTCAGAAATGGCTTACCCCAGCATCACAGGAAATACCTATTTTTGTATTGTTTGCCATACATGATTAATTTTCCTTCTCCTGTTCAAACAAACTGTCTGAACCCCACCTTTTTACTAAAAGGTCTGTGCACTGTAATTCAGGAATTGCTGTATTTGAGACAGCTTGGGATTGGAGTCATGAGAGATGTGTCTATTCCTAGGCACTCATCTTCTGAACTTCCATATAGTTTAAGGAGGGCAAGCTTTTCATAGATTCTTTTATGTTGTTGTTGTTCCTTTCTTGATAGGTTTGTTGTTTTGTTGTGTTTTTTTTTTTTTTTCTGAAATGTGAAATAATACAGAGTTGTTGAGGGATTTTTACTTAAAAGACAGTTTCTCCTCCAGGCTTTTATATATGGCTTTCAGAGCAGATGCTGTGTTCTTTAGGGCCTTTTGACTTGGAATTGTTTGTCCATATTCTCCTTTCAGTGTTAAAGATAAGTTGAAAAAGGCAAGTTACCAATCTACTGCCATTCAAACAATGCAAAGTATAAGCTGATTAAGACTGTTGACATTTAATTTTTTTTTTTTTGGCTAATAATGATGTGATACCTTTTAGAAGAATATGTATCAGAATCTGATTCAAGCGTTCTTGGATAATGTATATGGTACATTTTGTCCAACACAGTATGTAACTTTGTTGCTTTCTGTTGTCTGTTTTCGGTTTCTTTTAAAATAAAAGTAATTTTTGTGGGGAAGTTGCCTGTTGATTTTTATGAAGGTGATGCAGGCTCTTAGTACCACAGTTTAGTGGTGGATTTGGCAGTCCTAGGGTAAATGTTGGACTTGATGATCTTAAAGGTCTTTTCCATGTATTAACTCATAATATTTTGCCTGTGAGAATGCATTTGGATTAGGCATAATCCTGCAGGGCACAGTATGAGGTTGTATTGCTCAGAAAAGACAGCTCCTGCCTCTCTTGGAGAGGTTTGCTGTTCTGTAAAGTCATTAATCTGAAGTAACTTCAAGGGAGATTAGAATAGGTCTTGCACCGCAAGCCCCATTTCTTTCTTACAGGATGGCAGGGAAGGCTTCGGCACAATTTGGCTGAATATACCATTTTAAGAGCTTTCTGCACTTGGGATGAAATTATACAAAGACTTATTTATTTTAATTGTAAAAATTATTATTATGGTATTTCTGTTTGTTGGAATGACAGAACTAACTCATACCAAATCAGCAACTGATACAGGTGGTACGCCGCACATGCAAAACGGTTCATTTGAAAAATAGCATCTGATAAAATAATCCTGTTCCTCTTAAAAAAATATGGAGGGATGAGGGAAATGAGAATTTAGAAAGGATGGGAAGGGGTAAAGATTATTAAATTAAGAAAATTTAAACTATTTAAAGGATTTTTCCCCTCATACATTAAAGCTTCTGAAGTCATTAGAAGTGTAATAACCCCTGGAAGAGGTCTATGTCTGTATTGGCAACTGGAAGGTCAGAGTATTAGTAATATTACTAAGATTTGACTGGAGTATACATTTCCATCCTTTGTAGAACAGGACATGGGAATTTAATAAAAAAGCTTTCCAGAGGAAAAAAAAAGTCTTTTTTCACAACAGTTTCTTGCACCTTTGACTCATAACTTAGTGCAAACAGAAGAAATCCTGCATGGACCTTCCTCTTGGTTTACTTGGCAGAAATATCATAGTGAGAGATCACTTACTTGTCCAAGTAAGCTAGCAATGTGGAGTGCGTATGACATAGGTGGTGCTTCTGTGGATAGCATCACCATGAGACTTTTAGGGTAGATCCACAACCTTGCTCAGTCCCTTTTATGTTCTTTAGCAGCAAAATCTGCCACTTTGACTTGGAAATGTGTCAGTGACATTTAGTGTCTTCCGTGGGGGAAATGCATGGCTTTGCACTGGTGACCTAGTTTTTAAGTAAACAGACTTTTTTGTTAATGTATTGGACCTATTTTGTGTAACTTGAGAACAGCAAATACAGGTAATCATATCTATGTCTTGGCTTGTAAAGTGTGTGTACATAGTATGGTCTTTTTGGCAGGAATAAATAATAAGCTGCTACATTTCAGTATATTCTCTGTGGCTAAACTAAAAATGACTCCTGGATGACCAAGGCAGAAGACCAGCACTCAAGAAGTCCAAGACTTACTGCCCATGCATGGACTCTCCAAAACTGAAGAATGCATCCTGGATGACTACAGCTGCATTCTAGAGTGGTAGGAGATTTTGAGTTACTATTGCATTATAACCATTCTGGCCAATGCTGCTATTAGAACACCCTGATCTAAAACAAAACACTTACCCCTCCAATCCCCAACTCTTCCATTACTTCATGCAGGAAGTAGGCAAATAGGATTTTGATGACTGTGTGCAGCTGTGGCCTCTCTGGTTTCAATTTAGTAGAACTGGGAAAGCTTTGAAGGTCAGCAAGAAGACAAAGCTATGTAGAAGAAATGTAAGGCAAGGGGCCTTCTAAGAAAACATCTCTTTGAGTGAAGAAAGGTCTGTAAGAAACCTGAATGTCACTGAAGGGATGTTGAAAACTTGCTTGTTTCATCCCTTTCTGCATTTGCCTGAAATTTGTCTTGCAATACAAACAACTGATATTAAATGAAGGTAGCACGAGGCAGGTTTAAAACAAACAGGAGGAGGTTTGTTCTCACAGCAAGATTCTTCCATCAGCTTTTATTTTTTTTCTCTTGCAGCTTCTTAGGCTGATAGCAGTCTGTTTATGGAGACGCCCTGGTTTAGGTCTGGGTTCAGAAATGTAAGTGCCAGAAGTCTCATCTGCAGCTGACAGCAAGGCTCCTTTTTCCACAGTGCATGTCCTAACGTAAGTCTGAAAAGATGTAACCTGCAAGGTTTAAAATGTCACATGTGACAAAAATACCTTCAGTTAAATCTCTTCCCTCTTACACTTTTGAATGGTCTTTGAATGAGGAATTTAATTCAGTTCTCAGATACCAGTCTATACAAGCATTCACCCACATTATACTGATGTGGGTGAGGGTGGAGAACAACCCAGAAATAGTATCAATTATGATGGATTTCTTGCTCTGAAAAAGTTTTAAACCTCTGCGATATTTTATTTATATATATATATATATATATATATACACACACACACACACGACTTAACCACCACCATTTGAACATTGCTTTGGAATATAGATAGTAGAACATAAAAATTAAATCTTCAGTGATACACATCAAAAAGCTAGTGTGTGCAATGTTAAACTTGGCTATTCTTGGTCATATTTTGAAAGAAAAGGGGAAAACTTGACTTTTTGATTCTGGATGTTTTTTTTTCCCCAAATAGTTGTACGTAATTTATACTTCTGAGGAACTTAAACCATACCTGAATGTTTATCCGAGCATGTTTGGCTTGCCTTTCAACCCATATTCCCCAGACGAAGTTGCTTTCCATGTACTAGACTTTATTTTGGCAGATACAGTGTTACTGATTGTTTGAGAGGGGGTTGAGCAACAACGCGCAAATTATCTCCTGAGTGTTCGGCAAAGAGAGCAAAATAGACAGTATTGGGAGGCAATAGCATGAAGCTGTCGAGTACTTTAGAGGACATCTGGGAGTTTCAGTGTATTGCTAAATCAGTCCTCATCTTTTAATAGTTTTAACCAGGAATTCTCAAGCTAGTGACAGTTTGTCTCTTTATGGAAGCGCATTTGGATCATAAGAGCTGCATTCCTTCCTACTCCGCTGAGGTGCGAGTGATGAAAACCAGAACAGCGCCTTCCGTGCGCGGTGTCCGGGTAGGTCACGGGCCGGTGCCTGCAGTGGGGTCTCTCTCAGCCAATCTCGCCATGTTTCAGGGGTCCCAACCACCGTGCGCTGACTGAGCTTCCTGCTGCCCCGTCCAGTCCCGGGAACGGTGTTTGCTGTTTTGAACCGTGCTCGGGACTCGCAGGGAAGAGCCTTGTTGCCGCGGGTGTACCCGCCCTCGTTGCCCGTCACGGACGCCCTGCTGCGCGCCTGGGGTGGGGTGCGGAGCCTGGGCTGCCGCCGTTATCAGCCTGGCTGGCAGCGGCGGGCGCTCCCCGGCGGGGCTGCTCGTGTACACCCGGGCTCCCGCGGCACCGCAGGAGGGGAATGGAACCGTGGGGCCCCGGGGACCCCGCCAGAACCGCGGTGCCTCAACAGGGACCCGGCCAGGAGCTACTCCGGGCTCCGCCACCTCCACTGTTGGCTCGGCCGGCGCCTTCCGGGGCAGCGCTGAGGGACCCGGAAGTGCTCGTGGCGAGCATCGGTAGCTCTGTCTCCCGTAGTAACGGCGGCGGGGTGCCCGTAGCAACAGGGCCGCCATGCCGGTGTGGCTGCGGGAGTACAGCTGGCGGCAGACCGGCTCCGCCGTGTACCTCTCGCTGCCCTTGCGCGGCGTTCGGGTCACCCCCGCCAACATCTTCTGCACTGACCAGTACCTGAAGGTGGGGCGGCCTCGCTCCTTTCACGGGCCTTCTGTCGTGAAGTGTTGCTGCTTGAGATGTGTTACGGCCCATGGGCCTGTGCCTTGGTGTTACTTCATAGCGCTGTTAAAAAGAACACGCTTAACGCATCACGGCAGCGCTGTCAAATTTATAATCTTTTATAATTGTTAATCTATAATTTATTTTTTTTTTTTGCTGCAGACTGTTAAATATCTATCCTACAAATAGAATGGCTTTATCACTGATTGTGCCTCTCTGTACTAATGCTTTTGCTACTCAGTAGGCACCAGCTGCCTTTTCTCTCATAAATGGCCTGAGTTATACACATCTGCTTAAATTATGAATAATTGTAAATTTAAAATCATCTGTTGCAGAAGAACCATTTTTTTCAGTCTCTCTTACCTGATCTAATAAAATATATCACTGCCATACTGGACACTAAGCAAAGCAGTTCCGCCAATAGGATGTTTTTCTTGAGGTTTATTGTATGCTCATACTCAGTATTTTGAATATGTGAGATTTAATTAAAAATTGTAAATATCAGTACAAATTAATTATACTTTTATAGGTAAGCATCCCTCCCTTTTTATTTGAAGCCATTTTATACGCTCCTATTGATGAAACAAACAGCACAGCAAAGATTGGAAATGGAATCATTTTCTTCACTTTGTATAAAAAAGAAGAGGCCATGTGGGATTCCCTGACTATAGAAAATGGTAAGTTCTCTACTGTGAACAGTAGATTGTGTGTAAGAAACGGAAACTGTGCCAAGACTTTTTACACCATAATAAGCAATGTGAACTTCTGCTGCTAGATATCTGCTAAGTTAAACCTTGTTGTTCATTGTTAAAAACAGAAGGTATACGGAAACATAAAAAGAATATCCTCTGGGTCTAGTGTGCACAAAACAAAACAGTGCTTCTTGTAAAGCTTACATATTATGTGTACGTGACTCTTAGTTTTTCATTTTTAGAGATAGTGCTTTATGGAATTTGAACCAGGTTGCATTTTCCCAGACAAAGCAGCGAAAGGAATTCTGGGTTTATGAACACGATGCAGAACATTAGAACTTCAGGCCTAAATTATTGAAATAGTTTTTGTTTTTTTAAGATAACAAGGAGAAACTGCAGTATCTAAGAGAGAATGCTGTTCTAAAAGCCCATGAAAAGGCAAAAGAGGAAACAGAAGCAAAAAAAGTTGCAAAACAGGAACACAAAAAGTATGCTTTGGAGGCCACAATGAAGGTAAGCTTAGAAGGGAATCTGTGAGATACATCCATATAACTATTACCAAGTGATCTGGCGGCTGCTTGGTTAATCATACCTTAAAAAGATGAGAAGCACTCATTTTTATTACAGTGGTGGTGAACCTTGTTATTTCTTTGTACTTAAAACATAGGCATTAGCAAATATGAAAACGATACAGAAAAAATACTTAGGAGTTGTAGTTTTCCATTAGTAATACTAATGAAAACTTTTGGTGAGGAGATCAGACTTCTGTCAATCGAAGGAGACTGCAGTCATGCGGCAAAACTGTACTCTCTTGCGGCCTTTGCATAAACACAAGTGTTAAATCATTTAGTACTGTCAAAAATACTACTTATTTCTTTTAAATCTTACTTATTTATTGTTACATTTTATACCAGACTTGCTGTTTATTGCCTTTTGTGTTATGTATCTTTAGCGTTTTGTGTTTATGTGCATTTTAAGATACAGTCTTCACAATTTCAATGTACATAAAACGCCTGATCACGTCAGTTGTGTTTAAAAGGGTCTTTTTAAAGTATACAATGAAATTTTAACATTGCATATCCAACTTGGACCAAAATGAACTGCAATTAGGGACTTTCGTAGTAGCAATGTTGTACCTATTCTACCTATGTAATAATTTCAGATAGGAGAAAAAAGAAATAGTGTATTAAAATCAAACCATATATTTTATGTTTTGCATATTCCTGAGAGGTGCCTTGGAATATGGCTAGGATTTTCCCTGTTTACAAGTAAAACTTGTTTCTGAATGTTTCTGTGTCATACCTTCGTATTGGTAGTAACAGTTAAGAGATACAACTTCTAAAAACTAATCAGAGGTTTTTACTCTCCCAGTCACTTAGAGTGTCTTCCATAACTCTGCTTGTACAATCACATCAATGATGACACTGTGCTTAGGGTATGGATACTGCGAAAATAATGGTAACTTCTGCTTGGTCATCTTCTTATTAGCAGATGTTACATATCTCAGGTTTATCATTCAAACAGCTAGAAGAAGCAGAAAGAAAAAGAATTGAAGAGCTGAAAGAAAAGGAGAGACAGAAGGTCACAAAGGAGTTGGAGTTATGGAAAAAACAGCAAGAAGATGCTGAGAAACAAAAGAGGGTACAAAAAGGAGGGAAACTACATCAAGAAGCAGAGCAACTAAAGGAGAGGAAAAAGGAAAAGATGGACAAAACTAGGATTCTTAATGAAGGAACTTCTGAAACCAGACTCAAACCTACTAAAGGTTGTCATACTGAAGTGTATTTTATCGTTCTTTACAGTGTGGGTATAACTATATTCCTAGCTGTTTCTAATTCATCATTTATCTTTGTCTCCACCATACTGATCTAATTCTCTTAGTTTGCAGTTATTATGGTGTCTTCATTTTCAGGTAATTTATTGAGCTAAAGCATGTGAGTTCTTAGCTCTTGTTTAAGCCCTTGGAAATACAAGGGCAGGTTTTTTTCCAAGCTTTAGAAAAGCAAACCAGAAAGCCTTTCTTACAGTGTAATACAGGCTTTTGGAGGGTGTAATTCATGTTACCAAAAGTAACCTAACTGCAGATTTTCAAAGAAACATGCAATCTCCTTTCACTCTCTCTATCCCACAACTTGGCCCCACAGAGACCCATTTCAGGGAACTAAAACAACAGAAAGTATTTAATTTTTAGTTGTTTTGTTTGTTTTGGTAAGGTTAGTTTTAGCTCTTGCAGTTGCCCTGTCAGAGACTTATGCAAGTGACAGAGATAGTGGTGTAAGAGGAATTCGAGTTCGTTTGTGACAAACAACGCAGCCAGTAAATAGATGGCATTACACAGCAAGAACATACTTTTTTTTTTTTAACCTTCCTTTCAAAAGAGCAAGTCTAAACCTTTCTCAAGCTAATAGAAGTTTTGTTCTAATGCTCAGAATTTCTGAATTACGTGTACTTCAGACTTCGGAAGAAAACGAGAGAAACCTCTTTTGCTCCAATTTTCATTTCCAGTACTCCAATTCTTTTCACAGGTCGTGGTTCCTATAGTATGTTTTCAGAAAACTTAAAGGAGGAACAATTACCAGCTCCTCGATCTGCTGCTACAATTAAAATCAACTTTACATCACGAGTTTTCCCTACAGCTCTGCGAGAATCTCGTGTTGCAGAAGAGGAGGAGGTAAGGATTTCTCTCTGGTTTAGTACAATGCTTCTACTGTCTTCCAAGGTGAATTATTTACCATGTGTTCAGCAGGTTGACGAAGATGGTACCAGTGCCAATATTCTTATCTTCCAAGGAAGACTGTCTTTTTTAAATTAAGATTTAAAGAAACACTTTTGTATAAAAAGTGTTTTCACTAAGCATGTGATTGTGCAGATTAATAAATAGCATGTTCCCTTTTCTGGGAGGGCAAAAAAACCCAACACAGCAGTGTTAATTTAATTCCTTGAAATACAGCATTTGAAATGTCTCTCTATATACTTATATTTAATATTCTTCAAGTTCTGTCTTCTTAAAAAGAAGTTCACTGTTAGCTCTTTTGTGCTCTATTGAGTGAACACAAAGAGTCATTTTGGAGTTTCAAAACAAACAAGCAACAAAAATGTATTAGTGATTCAGTAATGTTGCTTCTTACATGGTAATAAAATATTTGGGGAAAATTGGAAGTTTTTTCATGTCTGACATTATAAAAGATTTCTCCCTGTCCAAATTATGTGGCCAATAGAATTCTTTTGATAGGACTGAGTTAAGAGATGAAAGCAAAATTCTTTTTTGGATTTGGATTTTGCTTCAGAAGTACTACTTGCACATTGTATATTTACAGTGGCTACATAAGCAAGCAGAAGCTCGAAGAACAATAAGTGCTGATTTGTCTGAGCTGGAAGATTTAGAAGAAGAGGAGAAGAATCCAGATTGGTTAAAGGACAAAGGAAAGTAAGCTAGATTTGAAGATATATTTAAATGAGTTACATAGTCTGTTACTTAGTTTTGATATTTTCTATTTATCCTAGACACAGGTGGTGAATGTCTGCACAGTAGAGAATTTATTAACAGCTTATGGGGTTTGAATCTGATAAAGTCATGAGACGAAATTGCTACAGCTCATGATAGACAAAATCATTGTGAACACACGGTGCATATTTTTGGTTTGATGTGCAAAGTCTGATAATCAGATACATGGCTTTCAGGATTAGTCCTGCCTCTACCTAGATGTGTCCGCCTCTTACTGGTCTTGCTGTTCTTCCATTGCCTCTGAGAAACGACTATTTGTGTATCTCTATGCTATAGTCAGCATCACATTTGAATTGCAGCTATGGTCTCAGAAAAGGCTATAAATGGCCATTTCCAAGGGAAAAGTGGTTAAAACCTCAAATATTTGAAAATGAATTTTAAGAATAAGTGGGTATTTATTTTGTGATTTATCGCCTTGTTTAAAGTGTATGTTTCACTTTTTGTTTTATACTTAGCAAAATGTTTGCAACGGGAAACTATCTTGCAGCTGTAAATGCCTATAACCTTGCAGTGAGGCTAAATAATAAGCTTCCCCTGTTGTACCTGAATCGTGCTGCCTGCCACCTTAAACTGAGAAATCTACATAAAGCTATTGAAGATTCCTCTAAGGTAAAAATACGCAGGTTCTCACACTGTCATCTTATACGTGGTTGTGATTTATTACCGTAATGGTTGTGTTTCAACCCCCCAAACCATGCTTCCAAACACTTGGGAAGAATGGCCTATGTTGACTCAATACATGTTTCTTTACAAGTAAAATATTTTAGGAATATATACACTTGAAAAAAAAAAAGGCAACTTTGAGCAGAAAAAAAAAGAAAATATAGAGAGATATCACTTGTGTTATGTTGTGGTGTTCTTCATTTTGTGGGAAGAAAATAAAAAAGGTGGTGGAGATGAGGAGGATAACTTAAAAAAAACCCAAACCAACCAGCCATTTTTAAAGAAGGGCTGCATTATCTTGATATTTTAGCAGCCATTATTTGGGTAATGAGAAAGGAGTGATCTTAAATGGCGCCTGAATAGTTTGGAGACAGTTTTCCTATAATTATTTTTTTTTAGGTTATTGTTGTCTTTTTAACTAATTTTGAACTTCTTGAGGCTTGTAACTTGGGGTTTTTCCTAGGAAATACTACTACTACAAAAAAAAGGCAGCTTTTCTAGGGCTGCCTTTTTTTCTTCTGGATATATAATATCATGTATGAAAATAGAATACATTATTTGTCTGTAATAAACGTTTAAGACAGTATTTGTCAGTTTTTAGCCACTGAAATGAAACTGTAGCAAACTGCTGGGTAACAGATACAAATCTTAATGACTAGATTCACAAGCCATGTAGTTAAATCTGAATAGTTATTTTCTATTTGAATAGTTATTATGTTACTGTATAATCATAGCAATTGAGAGGGGTGTGTGTAAATGAGAAAAAAACAAACTGAGGCAAAATCTCCCTCTAAATATTTTGTGTGTTTTCATTTGTAAAGGCACTAGAACTGTTGACACCACCTGTTCCTGATAATGAGAATGCTCGAGTAAAAGCATATGTGAGACGTGGAACAGCGTTTTGTCAGCTGGAATTATATACTGAAGGTAAGACCTCAATTTTGTGTAAATGTGCATGTGAATTTATAGTGACACATAAGTAATTAGCTCAGTGAGACTGCTCACACCTTTATTTTTTTTGGGAGAGTCGTTAAAGGAGGCCTGTACAAAGTAGGTCTCTTCATTATGAACCTTTATACAACATTCCTTATTTTTTTAATTTATATCAAAATATTTACTGGCTAATTGTAATTCCACTTGAAAAATCTTAACAGTTTTGAGAAAATTGATTGTACTCCTAATTTGAGGAGTACAAACTAGTTTTTGCATTGAGGAGTTTAGGGAGTTATGTATCCTCTGTTTGGTCTCTTGGTTCAGTCTTTCTGTGCATGATGGCCAACTATTGACCATAGCAGCTTGGCGGCCGTAGAAGGTATTAGTGAAGAATGAATGAGAGGTTGGAGATGAGATATTTGCACTGGGAGGCAGTGGAATGTAGGAGGCAAACTGATATGAAACTAGGTTGCACTAATTTTGCTATTCATGAAGCCACGTTTTATTGGTTTTGAGATTTTATTTACAGTATTTCCAACTATAGAACAAAGTAATCTAAATTAACCTGAAATATTTCTAAAATATTTGCTTGAGAAGTGCTTAGTAACATACCTTGGTAAAAATACGCATGGAATCCATACTGGTCAGCAAAATGTTTCATCAAGTATGTGTAATTTGTGTGAAAATACCTGAATTAAGTGTCCCTATTGAGCTCTCTAAGAGTATCAGTTTAATTTTGTAAGGCAAAAAGTTACAAAAATTGGAAGTTGTTAGAAAGTAGAAGGTGAAGAATATTCCAAATGTCAGGAGTGAAATACTAACCTTTTCCCACTGATTACTTTTTTCACCCTATGAATCACTTCTTCATTCCCTTACAGCTTCATTTGCACTTGGAAACCTTTATTTTACTTCCTGTACTTAAGGTTTGCTTTACCCCCGCTCAAGCTCTAGTATTCACAGTTCACGTCTTTTGTTTCTTGTTTTCATGCGCTTTCCATTTGTCGTTCATTGTTTTCTCTCTTCTGCAGAAGACTTTTGAACACTCCCCTCATGCACATGTGTATATGTATATATGGGAATGAAGAGGCTCTGTTTTCATGTTTCAGTACCTGAAAATGTTTACATAGTAGAGTGTTTCCACTAAAATGTTCTGCAAAAGAATATAAATAAAATACAAATTTATTTACTGACAAAAGTTAAACCTAGTGTCATTTCTGCTTGTGACTGGAGAGCACTTATTTCTGGTTAGTTGCTAAAGAGGATGCTCGTGTCATTGATTGACATTAACGTATCTGTATTAGGTCTCCAGGATTATGAAGCAGCTCTGAAGATTGATCCTAAAAATATAACTATAGAAAAAGATGCTGAGAAGATTAGACACCTGATTCAAGGAACAACACCAGATTCTTAATTTCAAAAACAAAAATCTTCTTGACAGAGGTATCTTTTAAGGGCATCAGAAAGAATCTTAGTTCTCTTAATATGTTGTTAGCTAGACATTTTTCTGTTTCATCCAGAACACCTACAGAATTGGTAAAAGATTGGATATATGAATTACTATTTTTTGAAAGTATAGTATTATAACAAATACAATTATATATATTCTATATAATTTTGATACAAAGTTGTCAGTTTTGCTTTCTGTGAAATACTGGTGGGTTGAATATTAAAACGTGCTTTTGGTACTTGATTTAAAGTTACTTATAACTAAATGAAATATTTGTCTGTAAATATCTACTGAATCTAGACAGTGAGTTTTGAAACAACTTCAGTAGCTCTGTATAGTCAACACCTGTTAACTTATCTTTCTCTTCTCCACCAAAGCTGAAACAGTTGTGTGTTTTATGGTTGTGGTTATGTGCTTTCCTCTTATTGTTCATGGTGTTTGGCACATCTGAAACTAAGACAGTGAATTTAGATATTCTGGAATCTAATTTGGCAAACCTCTACCTAAGACAGTGAATTTAGATATCCTGGAATCTAATTTGGCAAATCTCTACCTAAGACAGTGAGTTTAGATATTCTGGAATCTAATTTGGCAAACCTCTACCTGTAAGCATAGAGGTAGATTTTATGTAGTGCAGAACGTTCTTTTTAGCATTAAGCATTAATATACATTGAATATTTTCAGACTACTTGGAAAAATTTATTTGGACTGACCAGACAAGGTAAGTGGAACAATTATAAACCTGTGGCATTCTATTGTAGTGTAGCAGTAAATTGATCCTGTGATAAATGCTCCTATCAATGACTATGACTGACATCTTCCATCCTACTATGGTTAGTAAACTTATGGTGTAGCTGTAAAGAATATTCTAAATAAAACCATTGTTATTTGCATGAGAATGTATATTTTTCTTGAGCTATTATTTTAATTTGTATTCTGTTGACACTGGCCCATATCTCAGGAATACTGGTGTGATTAAAGGTTCTCAAAAATGGGACCATCCTGGTGAGGTTACACGTGCTATAAAATGACATGAAGTGTGACACTGTGCTTTAAAGTCCTGCACTTGTTTTGGACAGTGGAAGAATGTAATATAGAATTGTACTGTGTGTGTGTGTATGTGTATATATGTATGTTAGCATTTTTATTACTGTGATAGCCTGAAGCCCTGGGCTTGAGTGGTTCTGTTTTGTTAGGCATTCTATCCAAATTGTGACCATTTCAGCTACGCTCCTCCAGTAGCTGTTCTAGCAGACTTGTGAATTTTCCACATCAGTCTGTTTCCTGATGATCATGTGTGGCTGTTTTTTGTCCTTAGGAGAAAATATTTGTTATGCAGATATATGTTATTCTGTGCAGACTTTATGCTCTTGGATCAGGGAGGATTTGGCAGGCACTGCTTCCAGTTGCTTTACTTAGAGCCTTGAGAGGAGTGCTGAGGTGAGTCTGAAATGTCTGGGGTAGGTTCTGTTCCTTCTTTTCTGCAGGTATCTAATGCATTGCAATGGAAGGGGGTGAAAATTCTTTGTTTATAGTAGTTGGAAGGAGGGCAGTGCGGGAGCCTTAGTTGCCTCAGTTGAATGTAATGATTTACTCACCAAAATACAGCTTTTTTTCTTTTTATATATATAATTACTGAGAGGAGGTGGGGGCTGAGGAGGACAGACAGTGGCAATGGGAAAAAGAAAATGCAAAGAAGCAGACACTGGTTATAAGCTCCTGATTTTCTGTTTTGGTTCCAGAGCCTATTAGGACAATCTGTATGCATTAGTATAGGCCAGTTCTGTTGTAGTGGTTTGTTACAGCTACTCAAGGTTGTTTTTTTCCTGTAGGTAGGCAACTTTTTCTATTGCTATGAAATAGGAACAGTGCCTCCTTTAAAGGTTAGGGAAGCACATGTGCTTGGTGGCATTAACAATATCTGCCTGTTTCATCTGATGGCATTGGGATTGATGGGTGTTAAACTTCTGACTTCAATACGTGAGCTGATAAATGTGTACACCATGTCCAAGTCATGCTTTCTTTTGGTATTAGTGTCCTGAGATGTAGAAATGTGGAGAGTACTTTAAGTTTTGAAAACAGAAAATATTGTAATTAAAACAAATAAACCTTCAGGTCAATGACTCTTGTACTTAACTCTTTCTGAAAATTAGAGTTCCACATTTGTGATACCAGTTTTGAAAGTTTTATTTTTGTGGGTTTAGGTCAGATGGAAAGATGGGCTACATCCTTTTTGCTACATCTTATTCAACCCACATGCTGGTTGTGGCTGAGATTGTGTTAATTCACAGTAGCTGGTATGGGACTCTGCTTTGGAGCTGTGCTGAAAACAGTGCTGATAACAGGGATGTTTTAGTTACTGTCGAGCAGTGCTTGCACAGTGTCAAGGCTTTTCCTGCTTCTCGCCCCACCAGTGAGTAGGCTGGGGTGCACAAGAAGCTGGGAGGGGGACTTAGGGTATCCTGACTGACCCAGGGATATCCCATACCATAAGGCATCATGCTCAGCATACAAAGCTGGGAGAAGAAGGAAGGGGAAGGAGGGATGTTCAAAGTGATGATGTTTGCTATTCCAAGTAAACATCAGGGTATGGTATGCTGGAGCCCTGCTTTCCTGGACATGACTGAACACCTACCTGCCTGCCCATGGGAAGTGGTGAATGAATTCCTTATTTTGCTTTGCTTGTGTGCACGGCTTTTGCTTTACCTGTTAAATTGTCTTTATCTCAACCTATGAGTTTTCTCACTTTTACTGTTCTGATTCTCACCCCCATCCTATTGGGAAAGAGGGAGTGAGTGGCTCTGTGGGTCTGAGTTGCCAGCTGGGGTTAACCCATGACAACCCAGCAAAACCGAAGTAAATCAGATGCTGACAGTTATTCCTAGAATGACTGAAAGAAGATTTGTTTTCTTAAAGCTACATGTCTAAGTGTATGACAAAAAGGTGGAGATCCATTTTTACAGAGTATGCTGGAAATGGGGATAATCATATACCCTACTTCTGTCAATGGCAGTGTTTAAGTATCTTGAAATGACCCATAAGTAAGGGGTTTGAAGAGGTTTGATCCACCAGATCCACTGCAGGGTCCCACCATAGGTGGCACTACATTCACTTGCAGTTGTTTTAAACAGTAAAACCTGAGGTGTTCTAAGAGAACCATTGGTCATGTTTCAGGCTCCAGCACACATCAAAACACCATGAGGAGACTGGTTTTGCTCAGTGCTTGGACTTGATGGCAGTTTCTTGGCAGAAGTCATCTATTTGCCCCCATAAGGAGATGGATTTCAAATAACATGGCAAAGCATTTCAAATTTGTTAAGTGTTTGTGGTCAGAGCAAACATTGCTCAAGACGTGTATTGAAATACATTGGTGGGGGAGAGTGAGGAACTGACTTTTGACTTTATTTAGTAAACTGTGGACAGTGATAACTGGACTCATGTTGACAAGGAAGTGGATTAAAAATTAGAATTTGCATCTACCTGGATATGTGTGGCAGAAATAATTAGAATGGGTAATAAAAACATGAATAAGAGTAGAAGTATAGTGAGATGTTGTGAATGCTTTATTTTGGTTTTGACTCCTCTTTTTCTAACATACAGAAATGTGCATACTAAGCCTTAAGAAACATCTCAATGACTGTACTCCCTTGCCTTAGTTTGGCTGTGCAAGCCCAAACCCTGCTGTTGTTCAGAGGTGCAATGAAATCTTTTTTCCTGTGTTCCTCAGTCACAGGAAGGATGGCGAAAACATTTCAGTTGAGGTAAAACACTGGTAAGAAATTGTACTTTTCCTTTACTTTGTTTTGAGGCCTGTTTTTGTCTCCTGATCGTTTTTTGCTCCAGCACTGCTGGGGCTGTCTCTGGCCATTGGATGTACTCTGTGTGTTGTCCCCCAGGGGCAAGGACAGCTTCTCCTGAGCAGCGCAGGGTGCAGGCATCTTGTTCCAAGCCTGAGCTGGTGGGCCACTGTCCAAATCAGTTAATTCACAGGCATCCTCAGGTGCAAGGATCAAGTATTCCTAGTCCATATGCTGCACTGTTTTTTTTCTTTTTCCTGTGTGTGCCAGCGGATGTGCTTTGTTGGGGCCGTTTTGTTTCTTTTCTTTCCTTTAGCACCAGCGCTATCCGCACCTAAAGGAGCGCGTCCCTTCGTAGCCGGGTGTCGGCGGGGTTACCCTGTGACCACAACTGACACGCTCCCCGCGCTGCAGGCCCCTCTGAGCCCGCTCCCCCGGGACAAACACTGGCCCCGTCTTGCTGCCCCGCTCCTCGCGGGCTCACTCCGCGGACCCGCCACGCCGGCCCTGTCCCTGGCTCAGCCCGGCCCAGCCCAGCCCGGTGCCAGCGTGCGGGGCCGCGGCGCGGCGTTGCCATAGCAGCGGGAGGCGCGGTTGCCGGCGGGGCGGGCCGCCCGCCGCGGTGCACGCCGGTCGCTGTAGTTGTGGCTGCGCGAGAGCCGCTGGGCGGCGGCGGGGCGCGGACTACGCTCGCCAGGGTGCTGAGGCGCCGCCGCGCGCAGGCGCCGTCCCGCGCGGGCCGGGTGCTGTTTTTGACGGCGTCACCGGCGGTCGCGGCCCCGGCCCCTCGTCTGTGCCGGGCCCCGCTCGGGGCCGCGCTCAGGTAAGCGGCGGCGCGGCGGGACCTGACCGGCGCCGCGGGGAGCTGCGGCCTTCCGGCCTGGCCTGGAGTCGGTGCGCGGCTCCCCGGCTTGCGGAGGGGTTGCCTGGAGCGGGGCAAAGCCCGGGAGTGCTGGGGCCGGGCTGGGACAACCGGTGTTGGTCGCGGGGAGCGAGTAACCGGGTGCTGCGGGGCGGCCGAACTGGCTCCGCGGGCGGCGTTCAGCACCGCGCTGGCCCTGGCCCTGGCCGCTGGCATTTGCCAACTTCCTTCGCTTCCGTCATCTGTCTGTGTGCCTCCGGCTGATGCAAGGTGTTGTGTTTCGTAAACCTTGTTATTGTTGCTTTAACTGCGCCGGCAGCGCACCGCTTTCCGTCTCAGGTGTGATGCAGTAACACCTGTGCGAGGGAAGTAACGGTGAATAGGGGCTGGCTGCCCGGCTTTGGGGCGGGTTGCCTTTAGAAGCCACATTTGCTGGAGATCAGAGAGGAAATAGTCTTATGGGTTGCTAAATATGGTCGTGGAGGAGGAAAAGGTTACTTTGGGAAGAAATTATATTGCTCAGTAGAAATAAAAACTTGCATGAAAACCCCAAAGTGTAATACCACTATAACATGTTTATTTCTGCTGTGCAACAAAGAAGCCACTGTAGGAGAGAACTGAGTTTTTACTTGGAATGACAGCACAGCAAGCTCTAGAGAGCACCGATTCCTGTTACTGCCTTGTTATTCATCTTTGTCAGTGCTCACTGAAATTATTTTAGTCTAGGAAATCCTCTATTAAGATGGAAGAACTTAGGGATTTGTTTAGACTGGAATGCTTATTCTTTCTGCGACTGGTATTTATTCTGCTTCAGAATAGATAAGCAGGATGTGGTATCTCATATTTATTTTTATAGAGATATATGGGATAACATTATCGACAGTCCATATGGCTGTAAGCTTTTACATCTCATGCTTCTGGTTTGCATTTCAGTAAGGTTAGGAAAGTAGCTCTGATTCCCTTCTCCCTCCCCCAGCTACATAAAGGTTGAACTCTGAATGTAATGGGTATTTATTTTGCCTATAGAAATGTAAGAGGCCATGTCACTGATAGCGTAGGACATTCATGGGCCTAGGATCAGCTTTGCAGTTAAAACTGGGGTACAGAAGAACTTGAGCTGTCACTTTCTTTTGAAAAACAGTGGCAATGAAGGTATGTAGTGAGGAGCCAAACCAGTGGAGCTGTGTGAATGGGGGGGGGTGTGTGTGTGGTGTGTTTCTTTGCATTTCAATCTTTCCTTCTGGCTTGGCCTGATACACAGGAGATGTGGAATACCCTATTGTATCTTCCACTTATCCCTGCTGTCGTTGTACTACAACCCATTAGGATCATCTTGATTTGTTAGGAAGTTTGCAGGTTTGTGTCTTACTGATTCCTGCCTAAAGCTTTCTTTTTAAAGACAGTGCCAATGTATCCAGCACCTTTGGCTGATGGGAGAAGCACACAGGGTCTTGGTTGGTCTTTGTCATCTGGTGGTGGTGGTGAATACAAGCTGGTGAAGATTTTGTTCTGAGCTCAGTTTAGTCACTGGGTTCAGATTAGTCTTCTGTATTTCATTTTACTTAAGGGACTGGATGTGACCTCAGATTTAGTTCTGGCTCTGTGTGTGTTATTAATCTTTTGCAGAAATAAGCTGTTTAACTGATGATTGAAGTTTAGGAACACTGTACCTAGGTTTTTTCTTTTTTTTTTTTTTTATAAAAGCCTTTTAGGCTGTTTAACCCTTTTAGAGCTAATTATTTCTAATTAATAGAATGCTCTGCTTTTGGTAACTGTTTTACACATGTATATTTGCTTAATGTGCTTACAGGAATGTAGTGACCCTAGAGTTGCCAGTCAGTCTGATGCTGTGCTATCTATCTGTCAATAAATTTGGTAAATTTAGCAGTTCTCAATGTTTTTGTAATTATTCTTTTTTATTTCATTCCTGATATGAAAATCTTTTCTATTTTGGAGATTGGTCACCTGTATAAAGTTAGATATGCAGTATTAATGTAACATTCTGGTTGAATAAAAGATAAGTGACTTTTGAGGCAATTTATCAAGGCCAGCAAGTAAGGGAAAATTATCATTGTTTGTGTGTTCCTCTGGGTTTTTTTTATTTTCGTTATGCTGATGCCCACATAGTGAGGTCCTGAAGCTTTTGTTTGGGAAGGGAAGACAAATGTGCAATGCTTCATGAAGCCTGAGGCCAAGGTTGTATATTGAGTAGAATTGGTTTTAAGCAGTGCTAGGTTACTTGTCTGTCAGGCTGTGATCTGGATGGAGAGGGAGAACACGATAGCATTTATGTTGAGTTAGCCAGGGCCCGTGATGAAATGCTGAATTAGCTGGAGGAAGACTGACAGTGCAGTCTCCAGTGAAGGCTCTGCTGGTGAAACTTGCCCTTCCAAGATTTGCAAATGCAGTTGTATCAGCAGATTCATTTATTTATTTTCTGTTAAAGGATTTGCATTATGTGACTTCGTTGCTTTTCATCTAGCACTGAGATGCACCAAAACTGGAATTGCCATGTTATGAAGCCGCAGCCTGAATTTCTTCCCCAGTGGAGATCAGACTCGCTAGTAAGGGCTGGGGGGGACTGCCTGTACTGTGTTTGCCCCAAGCTGTGTTTTCTGTGGTTATGCAAAAGACTTGGTTTTCAGTGACAATAAATTTGGTGCTTTTATGATTGCTGTGTTCAGTGAACTGTAGAATAATTAAATGGGAATGTTTTTATACCAAAGAGAATTCTGCCAAGCTAATTTCAGATCAGCAGTGCAGTTTTGGCAATACAGCGAGCCATGTTTCTGATAGGTAGCAAATGCTGGTACTGGTTGTTGCCTTCCTCTGAAAGGAATGCTGCTGCTGAACACCTAGTCAAATGCAACATCATTTAATGACAGCAAGCAGATGTTATCATCTCATGGGAGCTCTGGAATGCAGTCTTTGCCGTTTGGGCACTTGTTATTTTGAAGATTGAAGAAGTATGATTAAAAAAAAAAAATAAAAATTGATGATTGAGTACAGTAGCTTTTTAAAAAAACCCAGAGCAAAGTGACACCCCCTTCCTGGTGTTCCCCAGCTGAGATTCCAGGAAAAGCACTAATGAAGGAAGAAAAAGATCTAAAGGAAAATGACAACCAAATTCGAAGTAGGCCTTTATAATGAATGGAAATGTAGTTTCTCTGATATTGGTACCTGTGTTGATTATTAGTGAATATTTTTGCTTTATAAACTGTTATGATTGTCATTTGCCTTTTTTTACAGAGGAACCCCAAATATATTAGTTGAAGTTGATGGGGAAAAAGTGTCATGTTAGGAAAACATACAATTAAGTAACATAATGTAAAGGCATGAGACAAATATTTACTGTGTTTTGTAAGAAACCTAAATGGAATTGGAAGTTTTATATTTTGTTGTGCAGGTTTCTAGCCACGTCAGCATATGTAGGTGTTCTTATCCAAGGGTTGTGTATGTTTTGTGTGTTAACAAACAAGATTGATAATGAAGTAGAGAGTACATAAATTTAAACAAATAGGTGCTTTTCTCTGTGTCCTCGCTAGAAGTAACGTGATGTGGGAAATAAAGCAGATGTCTGAAGATCTCAGAACAATCTGCTTTGTCAATATAATCATCATTTTATAGAAGCTTTATTGAACCACAATTTCTTTTGCTGTTTTTTGAAATAGGATGTATAGCATAACACACAATGGACTGGAAATTGTTCTATTTTTGAGAATTTCTTTTTCCCCAAGACAAATCCATAGTAAATTTTATTTAACAGTTCAATATATTTTAATTTTAATTATAGGAAATGCATTAAGTTTCTTTTTAAAGTCTTTCTGTTATTTAAGAACTTTAAAAAATGATCAGAACATATACCAATAGTGAATACTCTGTATTCCTGGTACAGGAGAAAAGAATAAACAAGCAGCTGCAGCCAGACAGCTCTCTTCTGAAAGTAACTAGCCAAGTCATGCAGTAGTATTGTAACAAGTGAAATTGGTTCTTCATTACTTTTTGTTCTGTTTTTGTACTCCCAAGGTACTCTCTGAATTTCCTTCAGAATCAGTAACTATGTTTGAGAGTACTTGAAAGAAGTGAAAGAAACATGAAACATTGTTTTGCCCAGTAGTTGAAGAGAATTGGTTCCAAAAATCCTATTTTGTGTCTCCTCAAAAAACCCCACTATGGTTTTCTTGACTAAGCTGTAGTTTTTGTGCACGTAACAGTTCAGAAATAACTGCACCTACTGAAACATGTCTTAAACAATGATGCTACAGACACATTTTAAATTTGATTATAGATTTTTTTGGCTAGCCTTGTATGTGTGGTTTCAGCTGGTCTAAGAGCTCTTTTGGCTGGCCAGAATAGGCATGTACCTAGCAAAGCCATAATTGCTCCCAATATAAAAAAGGTAACAGGAAACATGTACAAAAAAATATATTTTTCTTTCTTACCTTTCTTTTTTTTTTTTCAATTCCAGAGTAACAGTTTGTGAATCAGTGTGGTCCTGCTGTAATGTCATGATTTGGATTCTTCTGTTTCTCTTTTTTCCTTGAAAGCAGTGACATTGTATGTGTTGCATGTTAAAAAAATCTACTTTTACTTGCAGTGTGCTTTGAAAATGTCTGAAAATTCGAGTGACAGTGATTCGTCTTGTGGCTGGACTGTCATCAACCATGAGGTACCTGATTTGACATTAATTAATAAGTTCTGTCAGTTTAAGACTAGCCGTATGCAGTAAAATATTTCAACTATATAGATTTTACATATTAAGAGAGAGTATAGAAGAGAGGTTTATAAATAAGAAAACGACTGTTCAATAATGTGTATCCTTTATATAGCTGCTGTAAATTGTGTTATTGAAAAGAATTTTTTTCTACAAAGATTTTACTTTAAAGAACTGATAGAATTTTAGTGAGATGATCTCCTCTGTTCCATCTTTCCTGAAAACACTGTTGTTCTGTGTAGCTTGTCTGTTGCTGCTAATATATTTCTTTTCCATCCACCTTACCCCCCCAAAAAAAAACCCAGAAGTATTGGGAATAGCGCGCAGGAAAAATATCTTGTGCAGAAGGGAACTGATTCTATGGTTTCTTCAAGTCTTTTCTACCACTGACATATCTAGTCCTAGCTTCAACAGCTGCTGTTTAACAGCAGGCCTCTGTCTTTACATTCCATCTGTCCTATTAGTTAAAAATAGGATAAGGACAAGTTTATGCACAAGGGCTAGAATATTAGAAGGCAGCATTTTGAAGGCTCATGTGAATGCTATAGTTTGCACATAACCAACTGCTTTTGTTCCTGACTGCAACATTCTCCGTCTTTTAAGTTGAGTGTCTGAGGTCAGGAGACTGAGGACTGGCATAAAGACAACTGTGAGATGTGCTGCCTCTAATCTTTTGTGTTGCCTTACTCTGCTTGCAGAATGCTTATGCAGTCTGGAGAAATATGCACACAGACCTACTGGGTCTTACTTGCATGATTTCAAGCACTTCCATGTGTGGAATGCTCTTCTGCATTGAGAAAGAAAGATATGGGGAGTTTAGAGGGTCTGGGGTCTCCAGGAATTAATGGCATTGCAAAAACTGGTTGGCAATCCCTTAGAGAAGGTTATGTTACAGAGAGTATGTAATTATATATTCCATACCCACAATACTGGTTTTCCCAGGCTTTCTTGCCTTAGGTGGAGTCTGGTGGAAGCTACAGTGAGTGAAGGAATGCCAACGTTTCATTAGATTTATTGAGAAATGAAGGTGGTGGGAGGGCAGGGCAACTCTGCTCACATCTGTACTGTAAGGTCAGGAATGAGCCTTCTCAGAGCTTCAAATGCTGGTTGCTGAGGGTTTGCCATACTTATGCTTGAAGGGTCTTGAAAACTGTAACAGCCTGGAAGGCTTGGAGGTGGTAAGAGATTTTTTTTAAGAAGGACTGAGTTTTGAAGTGACTTTCTTTTGTGTTTTCCAGGGACTCACAGCAGCTTTTCGCACAAGTTCTTTGCAATTCATGTTGGAATTCTGGGTTTCCTTGGCCCTGTTATTCAGGCAGGAGAGCGCAAGGCATAAAATATGTAGAAATAACCTGGATGTTGGCACCTTGTGGAGGAGGAATTGATGTGGCAGTGCAGGAGTGAGCTAGTGGCAGCAGCTAAGGGAATGTTCTGGAGGTTTTTTTCCCCATTGGGCAAACGGTCACTGAAGAGGTATCTTTCATAATGAAACATACAAAAGCAATCTGATTACTGTGTAAAGAAGTTGTGATGGTAGATTGCGTGGCAGCAAGTGGAAAGAGCGAACAGACTCTGAAAGGCAAAAATCTGTTCTTGGTTCAAAATTCTTGTCTTTTTAAGACCTGTTCAATTCATGTGTGGACCTCTGTCAGATTTGTATGACTTCACTTGTGTTTCTGTCCATCTTTTGAGCTCTGCCATAGCTTCATTTATTAAGCATACTTTTATAAAGTCACTGTTGTTTCTGTATAGCCCTAATTTAATTTGAGTGTTTGTGTTTCCTACCTTCTGAAGTTTGACTAGTTGTATAAAGTGACAATGGCTTTATTAAAACAAAAGTAACTTTTAATTCCTAGTAGAATAAAGCTTGAGACAAGAGAAAAAAGTGAACAATTAAAGGTCTGTTGGGATGGGCTCTGTTGTTGCATAGATGTCTACAGGCGAGGTATGTGAATCTGATGGTGGTCTCTAAGTTTGCATTGTACAGATTAAATCAATACAGCCCATGGAGTCTAGAGAGCAGTAATTCTTCCGCTAAGATCAACACTTCCATTTGATGAAATGACTTGCTGTCTTGACTTTACTCACTGTATTGATTGTAAAGGTGCCTTCAACAATTTGCTCAGGTGTTCACCCTTGAAGTTAGATAAGATTAATGTTTTATCTTACTTTCCCCTAGCAGTGAGCAAGTCAGGCTGAAGTTGCTCAGGAGCTCTGAGAGGCCCCACCTCTTAGTGCGGACCTCCAATATACTTTTCCCCTGTAGTCCTGAGGATTCTTGCATCTCTACAGATCTGGGCTGAGGTGTGGGTGTAGTAAAATTTTTTTTTTTCTTTTTTTTCTTTTTTTTTTTCTTTCAGGTATTTAGCATTTAGTATTTAACTTTACATTTTCTTTCCTGAGATCTCAGTCAGATTTTAATATGTTACTTATTATTGAGTGGCAAATTTCTGCAGAACATTTGCAAATAAAATTGTGATATATAGCCAAACGATACAAAGTGTATTTCAGATTGCTAAAGCAATTAGCTTCTGAAGCCTTTTAAAAAGGCTTTAATGTGGTCGTAGAATATATCTTATGTAGCTTTTTGAGGTATCTGTTCTTCCTCAAGTACAGTCTCCTCTTAAAATCATACATGTTTACTTGAGTCCCGAAACTGATCTGGAAGTATTACTACTACTGTAATTTCACACCTGCTGTGGCAAAAATAACTCCCTCTGTTTACAGAAACAGCTCTAGTTATTTATGGATCAGAATGACTTTGTATTTTTCAGTTACATTTTGCACGTTTGTACTTTCCTACTAACTTGCTTGCCTTCCATCAGTTCTCTTAAACAAAAATTACAATATGAAAATTAAATATTTGGAGTTGCCAGCCATACTGGTTACCTTTAGTACCCTGCAGTCTCCAAGCATTGTGTATCTTCAGTGCCTGTTTTGCTCTGAGGTTGTTGCTGACTAGCAGCTGACTAATAGCTATGGCTCCTTTCTGGATTAAAGACAGAAATCCAACTTGGAGATTCTATAAATATTTGTTTTCCTGGTGTCAGAGATGTCCTGTTAAAACAGCCATTCAAATTTGCCAACAGGAACTGAGATGATTTTTCCTGGTAGTGGTACTTAGTAGAGTACATGGTGGCACTCTTGGAAGCCCCATTTTGGGGAAGGTGTGTGTGTTTCCGTACAATACATGGACATGTGTGCAAGAATTAGATCCCATATTCAAAATCTCCCATTTCTCTAAGTTCTATTTAATAAATAGATCTAATAAAGCTACTGGGAAATAGTTATTTAAAATACTCAGCATAGTTATTAACTGATGGCTAATTTTCCTCATTCCTCCCCCCCTCCCCCCCCCAATTGTTCTTCTCCACCTTTTTACAGTCATGGTCGTAACACACCAACAGTTGTTTCCCTCTAGCTAATTACTTGGTATTTCTCTTGTTTTCTTTGCTCAAAGTCTTCAGTTTTAAAAGATACTACTCTTCTGTTTTTATTATTAGAGTTCTGTTTTCTTTGTAAGCCTTTCCTTCTGCTTTACTGATGGAAATCTGTGATGTTTGTTTAAAACTCTTCAACTCCAGGGTTCTGACGTAGAGACAGTGACTTCAGAAAATGGAAGCACAAATGATAACCATGAGTTTGTTTCAGAAGAATACGTTTCTTTGCAAGAAGAGGAGCAACCGACTGATTTGCAAGGTGAGATACAAAAGAGGAGTAGTTCCAAAATATAGTTAAGTATCTGTTGTAGCATTGGCAAAAACCTGGCATTTTTAATAGGGTTTATAGGCCTCTGTCAGAGCACTTGCTTCATCGGAGGTATGGAAAATAATCAGTCATCAGCTCTATAAAAGTATTTTTTTTCTTGAAATAGATGAAATTAGTAGAATGTCTTTCATTTTGTCAATACTTTAGATGTGTTATAGAACAGTATGCACTGGTGTTGCTGGAAGATAGTTTATAGAAGTGCTGTTGATAAAAGAAATATTCCTTAATAATGTCATAGAGTATAATGTCAAATAAGAGTAATTTGGAAGGAGCCGTCAATGTTTTTACACCTAAAAAAAATGTGTTGTGTTAGCGTTTATTGAGTTGGAAGTCTAACCCTGGTGTGTATTAATAAAGTGAAAATCCTTCCACTTTAATTACTAAATTTGATACTAAATTTTTTAACGTTGGCATGAGAACACAGACGTGACAGGTTCAATGTGCAGTTGACTAAATTTGAGCTTGGCCATGTTTCCAGATTCATAATCTCTCCTTGTACAAATAGGACTAGACACTCAAACTCCAGTGACTGTCTGGAAAATATTTTTATTATCCTAGCATATGGATGTACTGTGGTGCCGCTTAGATACAGTGGTTTTTACCTAACTCTGCATTTCATTTAGAGGTTAGTTGCATTATGATCAGGATGAGCATTTGAATTCAAGTATCCTCCAAACCACTGTACTGTGTAATAACAAATTGGACTCTGATTTTTGTTAAGAGAGTTATTAAAAATGAGATTTAGTGTATTTGTAGAAAAAACTTCACTGATAATAGAAATCTGCCACAATTACACACGTTTTTATATTATATATGAGTGAGCATAATTTGTGGTTACTGGTTTTAATCCCATGTTTGCTTGTTTTTTTCCTTTTCATATAGCTCAGTGCAGCAATGATGAAGAGATACCAGTGGTAGATAACACTCTTTCTGCTTTTGAGGAAACTCAAATAGTTCCAGAGGTAAATTGCATTATGTTGTTAAAAAGCTTCTGTAAGCCCCATGTGACAATGCCAAGCAATGTTTTGAAGACATTAAAATAAAGATACAGATTTTCCTTTTTTTTTAAAGCATTGAGAATTCTTGCTATGTTTCAAGATTATTTTGTTGGATGTATCTGAATATTTTTTACATTGCCCATTTCCCTAGGGAAATAAAGAAAAAATCCCTGATGATGGCTCTGGCATTGGAACTATTAGCGATGATTCTGACATTGTTACACTTGAAGCTCCAAAATCAGAAGAAACTCAAAGTCAGGAGGAAGCTCCTGCTGATGGTGAAGAAGCTCGAAGTACAGATGATTTTAACATGGGTTCCTCCTCTAGCAGTCAGTATGCATTTTCCCATCTAGAAACTGGTAAGGACAATAAATTACTAAGCAACTGTGTGCAAAATATGTCACCAGGAAAAAAACAAACCAAAATAAAGCAGTTTTTGCTTAGGGAACCTTCTGTGTGTGGAGAGGTGGAAAGATAATCAGTCTTGTTGAGTACATGTCCAAGTATTTGCAGTGTCTAGAAGAACTTTAGGTACCTTAAATCTGAACCTTTGTCCAAAGGTATGTCTGCAGTCTGTTTGTTTGAAAGCATTCTCTCCCGATAAGTGCTTGCTATTTTAAATAGAAAGTAAATTGCTAGCATATTTTTGAGAATTAAAATTACTTTTAGTTCATAGAGTAATTGTAGGTTTTCTCTTGGCAATTTTAAAGGCTTCTACAGAACTGACATAAATAACTAGCAGCTGAGAGAGAATTGACTTTTTGGGGCCATGAGGACTAATAGCAGCATGACTACAAAAACTTTTTCTTACCTTCATAGCTACGAAGAGTGTATATATATTTTTTAAGATTCTCACAGTACTTGGCAGAAATACACAATGCATTGTGTTCAGGAGGAATGATAAGAATATTTGGCCAATTAAACCCAAGAAAAAACCCAACAAACCTAAACAAAAATACTTACTCTTGTGTTACCCTTCTCTAGTCTTCCTTTTTAATTCTGTTTTGCTGCTTATTTGTAGTCTTTTCTGTTCTCTTTATTCTCTATAATACTTTTGTGTTAGTGATCTTCGGTTTTCAAAGTGAGTTTATTACAAGAGCAGGACTCTTCTTAAAATACTGTTTTATTTTAGAAGTAGAATAGAGCATTGTTAAACATTTATCTGTCTGTATAGTATCCATTTGGATCAGAAAATGACAGCTTAGCATCTAAATACGATGAGTGATGATTCACAGCAAAGCTGTCACCTTCTTAAAGTCTTCTGCATGACTTAATTTTAAATATAAAATTTATTGACTTTTCTTTTAGAGCAGAGTTCTAAAATTGTTTTTTTTTTTACTTCCCCCCCCATGTTCTTGTACACAAAAGTCAGTTGGCTGGAGGAGCTGAGGAAGATTCCTGATTGTGTAAGGGGATGGGGAAATGAGGTGAAAGAGCATGTGTCTCGCAGTCTTCCTTTCCAAGGTGGTGTGATTAAATCAGATCAGCTTTTGTAAAGCTGATTGCTTATGGCTTGCATGAAGTGTTCTTAAAATTAACAGTAGCGATCTGACTTGATCTTGTAGTAGTGATATTCCAAACAGATGCTAAAAGCCAGTCCTCATTGAAGAATTTGGCTAAGCTGCCAGTGTTTTATTTGCTTTTTTGAAAATTGTTAAACTTACATGTAGATTTGGAATGGGCATCAGTAAGCTTTGTAATACATTTTAATATGTGTGCTTGACTGTTTTAAATGAATCGTTCTTGTTGGATTCCAAATCTGTGTGACTGGCAAAAAGAATTTCTTCCTCCTCACTGAAGCTGATTTCAGCATGGTCTTCTGTGCTGTGCATTTGATTGACCATGTATCACAGAAAATGTCTGGAGTACTTTTGCATTTATTTTAAATGTCAGAGTTTTAGCAGTCAAAGTTTTCATGCCACTTTTTTGGTGATGGGAATCTTTGCCATTCACTGCTTGTTGAGTTTTCTGTTGAGTTGGAAAAGGATGAGCTTCAGATTTTCCTTATATAGATACTAAAACTTTTAATTGCAAACCAATTCCTGGTCAGGCTGTCTTCACCGTGCAGACAGAAATGTTGTAATATTGCTTCGTGAATAAAGTTAACTAGAAGAAGCTTTCATATGCTGAAATAAACTGCATCTAGGCTTGAGTTGTGTCTGTACGGAAATGTCAGAAAGACAAACAGATCACTGACATTGTTACTTCATGTGGTTTCTAGTGTAGCTCTGACACTGCAAAGTCATAGCAGAAACTAGAATTTTTGGTCACACTTTGTTTCATTTATACCCCTTTTCATCCTGTGAATGTTAGAGGGTACAGCTTTGTACTGAATTCTTACAGCACCTGTAAGGCAGTGTCATTCTTGCCTGAAAGTGTAATGGTGTTGACAACTTGCCAGTAAGTGCTTCTGAATGGCCCTAAGTGTCTTACAGCTTTTTTTTCTTTGCTTTCTGATTGTCTGTTTTTTTTTTTTCCTCCTTTCCTATTCTTTGCTGTCCAGTGTATATCAAAAGATTTTTCCATTTGGCTAGAAGCAGCTTGTTCCTTAACCACTTTTGTATTCCATATGTGTAAGCTTCTGTGGTTGTTGAAAAAACCCTGAAAAACCCAAATAAGTGATGGTAACATCTTCACTTATTAAGTATGTCCTGCATAATCTTTTATAATGTCTGACCTCTGCATTCTAGTAAATTCTGAATGCTGCTCTCCTGACTAATTTCAGAATGCTTGTCTTCATTGTGCAGGGTTGAGGAAGTATGCATCTGCTTCAATGACTGATTCTAAAATACTGTCCTTTTCTGCCAAGCTATATAAATTCATTTAAATAATCTGCATGTCAATTAGTAGTTAAAGTGATCTGTCTTTATTGCAATGTCTGCTTGGTCAGTGTGGTTTGACTAATTGACTGAAGTGGATTATTTTCTTAGGAGGGGAAGTTATCTTTTGTTATGTGACATGTTTCTTGTCCATGGAGTCAGAAATCTGATGTGTATTCCAGATACTAATCGGTAATCTTTTCTGGGGTTGATGCAATCACATCAATTAAGTTGGAATTTATTTTAAGTGAAGGATCTGAGATGGTAATGCTTTTTATAGATAATGGCCAGCACTGTTTGGCATTCTTGTCTGTTCAGTGGTATGTGCATGGCTTCACTCAAACAAATGATTTTCAGTTGTGAAATGTTCAAGGACAGTAACTCTGTATTTATATTTCTGCATTTGAGTTATGATCTCTGGTATGAGGATGAACAGCCATACATCTAGAAGGGGCATTAGCATTGTGTAATTGTGGGCATCAAATTTAGTGTCTGAGCACGAGCACTTTGTCGTGTGCTGGAGGCTTCATTGATCACACTGAATCTATTTTGGGCATGTGAATTAGGTTCCTGAACATAGATATTTGAAAGCTGCTTTTTCACCCTGCTACTGCTTTCCCTTGGTATTTGCCTTACTCTTGAAAGTAATGCTTTCAAAGGAGAGAGGTTAAATAATCATTACTTACCTACTGGATTATATACATTTATTTACAGTACATGCAGCATGCATTTGTATCACTAAACAAGAAGCAATTACAGCTCTGTTATTATTTTCCCAGCTAGAATATATGGCTTTTGGGCTATAGGAATGTGATCATACAAATGGTATCATAAACAACATTTTAGAAAAATAATATAAAAGGGTTTTCTTATGGTTAGAATTGGGTCTTATCTTAAATCTTGGCCAGTTCAGTCTTCCAAAATTGGTAGGTAATGGAAGTGTTTTGGATTCAGACTGTTAGAATCATATCATAGCATCAGCTAGGTTGGAGAAGACCTTTAAGATCATGAAGTCCAACCTTTACCCCAAGACTGCCAAGTCACCACTAAACCATGTCACTCCTGCTATCACCACTAAACCATGTCACTAAGTGCCTCATCTCTACATGGTTTTTGAATACTTTAAGGTCAGTGATTCCACCATTTTTCTGAATATCCAGTCTAAATCTCCCCTGGTGCAGCTTGAGGCTGTTACCTTTTGTCCCATCACTTTTTACTTGGTGAAAAGAGACCAGCCACCTCCTTTCTCCTTGTTCTTTTCAGGTAGTTGTAGAGAGTGATACAAAGTCCCCCTGAGCCTTCTCTTCTCCAGGCTAAACAGCCCCTGTTACTTGAGCCGTTCCTTATCAGACTTTTGCTCCAGATCCTTCTCCAGCTTCTTTGTCCTTCTCTGGACCTGCTACAGCACCTCAATGTCTCTCTTGTAGTGAGGAGGTCAGAACTAGACTCAGGTTCTGAGGTGCGGCCTCACCAGTGCCAAGTAAACAGGGATGATCGCTTCCTTGGCCCTGCTGGGCACACTATTGCTGATACAGGCCAGAGTGTCATTGTCCATCTTGGTTGCCTGGGCACAAGCTGGCTCATGTTCAGCTCTGTCAGTCAGCACTCACAGGTCCTTTTCCATGAGCAGCTTTCCAGCTACTCTTCCCCAAGCCTGTAGCATTGCAAGGGGTAATTGTAGTCCAGGTGCAGGACCCAGCACTTTGCCTCGTTGAACCTCATGCCATTGGCCACAGCCCATGGATCCAGCCTGTCTGGCTTTACAGAGCCTTCGTATCCTCCAGCAGGTCAACACTCCTGATCTAATTAGTGTCATCTGCAAATTTACTGGGGTGCATTTGATCCCCTTGTCCAGATCATCAGTAAATACATTAAACAACACTGGCATTAACGCTGATCCCTGAGGGACACCACTAGTGACTGGGTGCCAACTAGATGTGACACCATTTATTACCACTCTTTGGGCTCTGCTATCCAGCCAGTTTTTAACCTAGCAAAGAACACAACTATGCTGAGGCCATGAGCAGCCACTTTCTCCTGGAGAATGTTGTAGGAGACAGTGTCAAATGCCTTACTGAAGTCCAAATAGACAATGTCCACAGCCTTTCCCTCATTAACCAGGTGGGACACCTTGTTGTAGAAGGAGAACAAGTTGGTCCAGCCCTTCATGAACCCGTACTGACTGGGCCTGATTTCCTGGTTTTCAAACCTCACATGCTGTGTGATCTCATTTAGGATGATCTTCCCCGTGACCTTCCTCAGCGCTTAGGTCAGGCTGACAGGCCTGAAGTTTTTGGGGTCTTCCCTCCTGCCCTTTTTGTAGAGAGATCTCACGCTGGCCAACCTCCAGTCCCCTGGGACCTGCCCACTAGACCAGGACTGCTGATAAATGATGGAGAGTGGCTTGGTGAGCTCCCCCCTTAGGAAGGGACAGACACAGAAGCACCTGTTTATAGGTAGTATATGGTAGATATTAAAGTAAACAAATTTACATATTTAAATAAATGTGCAATACAAACCTTTGGGTATTTATAATATCTGCATTAATGGAACTTTAATGGAATTTTGTCTGCAGCTGCATGTAGATCACAGAAGGAGTTTTTTTGAGAGACTATAAGAAAACCATGTCTATAGCTTCTTAGGAGGCTTTCTTTTAGCAAGCCCTTATGTTGCTCTTTCATTATTAAATAGTTCAGTCGCAATATCTGTAAGAAAAGGAAATCAGAATTCTTAACCTTTTTACTTCACGAGAATTTGCAGAGACAGCGTACGAGGCAGCATTATCTGAAAGAAACATTTTCTAATGAGTGAATGGTACAGTATGGGGAAGTACCACACAGGTTTTTGCTCATGATTTCTTGATTCTCTTTTCCTTTGAAAAAATGAATCTTTAATGGTGGACATCAAGCATTCCTTGCATAATATCCAGCGTAAAATATTACATGGACAATTTTTGTTTCATTAGCGTTTGCCAAGATAAATTCCAAATTGATGTTGCATAAATATGATGGGTTTTGGTACTCTGATTTTTAAAGCAACAATTAATGAATTTTGACGAGTGTTTTGTGCTGGTTTTCAGTTTTTTCATCTCAGGCTAGCAATGATGAATCAAGTAGTGATGAACCAAGCAATCAGTCCGGTCCCACAGTACGAAAACGTCGGGCTAAGAAGAGGCTGATCCCCAGCTCCGAGGGTGAGGGGGGGTCACCTGCTGAGCCAGAGTCTGAGCCTCCTGGGGAAGAGCAGCACAAACGCCAGTTCAGTAGTGGCCTTAACAGATGCATCATACTGGCTTTGGTGATTGCAATCAGCATGGGCTTTGGACACTTCTATGGTGAGTTTATAGACAACAAAATACACAGAATTAACATCTAACGTAAAAAATACCATTTTATTGTGACTCTGTTTTTTCAGTGTTCTCTGTTAACGGTCTAAGCCTAAAAAAGAGAAAAAGCAACTGCCAATGTATGGGTAATATAGAGGCCCTTCAGCAATGCAATTGTATTTAATATATGCTAATTTAAAATTAAAGTAAATAAGTCAATTTTGGTTGCCTTCCAGATGGAAATTCCTTACTGTCTCATGTTGCAGTGTGTACCCTTCATTTTTCCATCTTTCCTTTTGAAATAAATTTGGGGTAGTGCTTTACCATTTGTAACAGCATTCAGAGAGTTATTTCAGGCTTCTGCCCCATATGTACTCATTGGTAAATGTACCATAAAAAGCAAGGCATATTTTTTACGAGAGTCCATAGTATCACTGTTTTTCTCTCTCTGTTGGGGAAAAATATGCTGTAGTTGTCTTTGCAGTTCCAGAGTGGTTTAGGGAATTCTGGAGAGCAGCAATTTTTCTGTGTTCGGTGCGTTGCCTAAAGTTAAGCATTACACAGATTGTTACTACATTTAACAAAACAACAGAACTCGTTCCAGACCTAAATCTATGTAGTGGAATCCTGATCTTCTAAGATGCATCTGCAATGATAAAAATTTTAGAGGGCATTTATTTTCAACAGTATTTTTTCCTAAGTAGATTTATTTTTATATGGAAGTGTGCCTTCCTAAGACTTGTGATTCCGTTTGAAACTGGGAATATGATTGTAACTGCATTTGATTATGGCTGATTGTTAGGGGTCTAAATTTTGACATTTGAGATTTATACTAATTTTCACTTGGCACTTTTTTCCTTAGGTAAACCTGAAGGTAAGTCATGAGTGGATGCTGTGTTTGCGTTCAGAGTTACTTTATAAATAGTGTGTATGTGTACACATGCATCCATGTACGTATGCATACTTATATTAAAAAAATAAATAAATAAAGTCCTAGTAATTACAAGTATATGCAGGATTGTAGGAATGACTAATCCAGTCATGTAAAATACTATGTAGCAGCTGCAGCTAGTAGCTGATGTAAACACTAATGTCTATTGACATGCTAGAAGCAGAGGTAAATGGAAAAGCTAAAGTTAGGAAGCCCTTGCCAGAAAAATTTCTCCCTGTGGACAATAAGGTACTTCTTTTTCTGTTTAACCAAGATCTGAAAAAGGGAACATTGCTGTATTGCTGGGGATTTGGATAGATTACTTACAAAACCTAAAGGGTACTGTGACTTGGAGTACCAGCTGGGAACACAAACCAATTAGTGAAGGATGGTACCTCATTACATGCATTTTCAGTGTCTTTGATACTCTTTCTGTGTTGCCTAATGTCTTCTTTGCTTTAATGTCTTACTGTATCTACCAGTTATGATTATTGATAAGGAGAGAAACAGTTTCAAGTGTTTTTCTGTAATTCAGGCTCCTGTTAACATGAACTCTTTACACTAAAGGATTCTTCAGATGCAGTCTTCAGGTTCTTAGGATCTATGGAATTCTTCAGAGTTATCTATAAAACATGAATTCGGAAATCAAATTTACTGTCGGTATACTCAAATTCACTTACACAAAGATCTGTGCTCACAGAGTTTATTAGGACTGTGTAAACTTAAAAACATTGCTTTCCCTTAGCTGAACCAAGGTTCAGCTGGTTTAGTAGAGCATTGTCTATTTTTAAGGTCATACTTGACAATACATTAAATTGAAATTTAGAACACAAAAAATTCCTTGGCGTAATAGTAATTACAGAATTTCTTCTGTTTAATAATACACGCCCCTGCCTTTAAATACAGAAATAGAACTCTGCATATGCTGCACTGGTTTTGAAAGAAATACCTAAAACTTGCTGTTGCCATCTGCTCTGTAGGGTCAATTCAAGAGAATTTTTAAAGCAAAGAAATAGAAACTGCATCAGTGTTAAAAACTGATAGGTAAAAAAGTACCAGTAAATAAGTTTTACTTGATGGAAAAAATTGGAGGCTAGTACAATGAAGAGATCTTTTCCAAAAAACAGTGTGTCTCAGCCTCTATCTGACAATTGAAAAATATTTACTTACTCTTTAGCCTTCACTCATTACAAGAATGACAAAACAGGGCCTGCAAATACTTCCTGCCTTGTAAGCAGTGTGTAGTAACTGTGTTTCTGCATGGAAATTTAAATACTGTGCTAATATCCTCTCATTCACGTAACTTAACAGTAAATGTTGTAGTCCTGAAGTGGGTAATGCATGGACTAATGGTCTCCCTTTTATCCTGGTTGGCTTGCACGTTACTAAAAACTGACAGAAAAGTTGCATGTATCCTTTCCTACAATAACTTCTGTTGTGTTATATCTAACTTATTTCTATGTAGTGTTCCAAAATTCCTTCATTTGCTGTCATCGAAGAAAAGACACTGTAATAGTGGATTTTTTGGGTCTGTTTGAGAAATCGTTTATCTCTGGGAGAAATAGAATCAATACGTAACAATCTGTTTAACAATCTGGGTTTATAGTCTTTATTTTCTTGCAGCTAAACAGTTGCTAGTAAGTAAATGGGCAGAAATTGCAAAGTAAGAATGCTTTTGAACTTGCAGAGAAAATGAAGTTTGGGTTCAGTGGTTTCTTTTAACTGCTTAATGCAAGTCAGACTATCAAGAAAAGCTTTTTTATCTTTGTAGGTACAATACAGGTCCAGAAACGTCAGCAGCTGGTGACAAAGACACGTGAATTAAAAGATATGAAAGAGGACCTTTACCAGTGCCAACAAGAGCAAGGAGATAACGGGTATCATAAAGTGGGGGTAGGTATGAGTTTAACTGAAAGCTACAGGGTTATTCTGTCATGTCTGTATCTTACACTAAGTGAAATTAATTTGTCACACAAATCCATTACATATTTTTCTATAGCAAGTTCTTTCTGACAATGTAATTTTCCTTTCCCCTGAAATCTTGACAAAGATTTTTTTGTTTTTTTCAAATTTGTTGTTGGAATGTGTTTAAACATACTGGGTTTATGTATGTAGTCTGGGAGCTATTCAGACACAGAGGTTGTCTCTTTTCCAATGACATAATGCCAGGTTGTCATTAATGAAGACAGCTGAAGTAGAACAGGCTGGTAAAAACTATTACAAGTTTGTAATTTGTTTTTTAATTGTCAAAGTTTATTTATTTTTTTTAATACTTGACCTGTACTCTCTTAGATTTTTACTATTAGATTACCCAAAGAGAAGATTAGGGAGTGCTTTGTGTGTGTGTGTGTGTGTGTGTGTGTGTGTGTGTGTATGCGGTTCGAGTGTTTTTTCGTTTATGTTGTTGATAGCAGCATCCATATATAATTCAGTCTGTTTAGTTTGAGAGTTTGTCAAGGATGTCAAAGAGTCTGGGGAGAACTTTTTGAGTTAGGTGTTCATGTAACAATATTCTATCTTCAACAACAAATTTGATTCAAAATCGGTTCCTGAATTTCTGTCCCAATTGCTCAATGCCCTTGCTTCTGCTAATATAATTTGGTTTGTAATCTGTAAACCCAGTTTGCTGAACATAAATCAACAAAAATCAAACAGGCACATTTTCAGTTCCTTTTAAAATGTTACCATTCATATACCTACTTTACTATCCTTTACCTAGTTAAATCAATACAAGCGAGGGATGATGACCCCTGGTTAGAAGGGGAAGCCTCTCACACGGTCTTTGTTGCCAAGGAAGTGTTTGTGTGCATATCCAAGATAAACAAGCTAGCTCTGTTTTTGCATCTTGCTGCAACATGTGTCACTGCATCCAAAATGATGAGTAAACTCTGCCTGGGCTAGCTTGGTGTCATGGTTTAAACGAAACCAGAATTCAGCACCATGCAGTTCCACATCCCCACCCCTTCCCCATTCAGGCAGGATGGCGAGGAGAAAATCAAAGGAATGTAAACCCCACAGGTTGAGATAAGAACAGTCTAATAACGAAAGTATAATACAAAACTACTACTACTACTACTAATGATGATAAGGGAAATAACAAGGGAAGAGAATATGAAACTGTAAGGGAAAAGGAAAACAACAATAAACACGAGTGATGCACAGTACAATTGCTCACCACCTGCTGACTGATACACAGCCTGACCAGAGCAGTTATCTGCCCTTCCCCCAGATAACTCCCCCCCCCCCCCCCCCCCCCAGTTTATATACTGGGCATGATGTGGTGTGATATGGAATATCCCTTTGGCTAGTTTGGGTCAGGTGTCCTGTCTGCTTCCTCCCAGCTTCTTTGTACCCCTTTTTAATGGCAGAGCATGAGAGACTGAAAAGTCCTTGATCAGAGTAAGCATTACTGTAAGCAACAACTAAAACATTGGTGTGTTATCAGCATTAAAGCCAAAACACAGCACTGCACCAGCTACTAGGGAGGAGAAAAATACCTGTTACAGCTGAAACCAGGACACTTGGTCTTTCATCTTTCTACCTGAAATTGTAGTAATTCTAATTGGAGTATTTTTGCTTGTTTCTTTTCGCTTGTATTAGTCACTCAAGGGAGATTTTGCCACATGTTTGTCCTCTACTGAAGTGGAGAAGAAATCCTTTGAATCTCAAAAAAAAAGTCTTGCTGCAGAAAATCAGCACTTAAGAGAATCTCTAGAGAAGGAAGAAAAAGCTTTGGCCTCACTTCAGGAAGAATTAAGGAAGCTAAGACAACAAATTAGAAACTTGGAAGATAAAGGTACTAGCACGGAGTCTATTGTAATGGAAAATCAAAAACTAAGGGAACATTTAGAAGAGGAAAAGCAAAGAAACCACAACTTTCTTAGGCAAAAGGAAACTCTGTTTGCAGAGGCACAGATGTTAAGGAGAGAACTGGACAAAGAACGTCATGTTACGGAAGCTCTAAAAAAAGAACTGGAACAGTTAAGTTCTCGTCAAACACCTGACAATGCTAATGAAGATGACGATACATTAAGAGAAAATCAAGAAATAGAAGCTCTGCGAGGACGACTAGTAGAACTAGAAAAAAAACTAAACTTCGAGCAGCAACGCTCTGACTTATGGGAGAAGCTGTATGTTGAAGCCAAAGACCAAACTGAAAAACAAGAAATGTATGAAAAGGGACAAAAGAAAGGTGCTAAGGGGCAAAGTAAGGCTAAAAAGAAATCAAAGGAATCATTTTTTGGTTCAGTCAAGGAAACTTTTGATGCTATGAAAAATTCCACTAAAGAGTTTGTAAGACACCATAAAGAAAAGATTAAGCAGGCTAAAGAAGCAGTGAAAGAAAACCTAAAAAAATTCTCTGATTCCGTCAAGTCTACATTCAGACACTTCAAAGATAGCACAAAAAACATCTTTGATGAAAAAGAGAAGAAGTCAAATGATAGAAGATACGAGGCAAACAAGAAAGCTCGAACTTTTTATCGAGAACATACCTCTTATGAGAATCCGAAGCACGTGCATTACAGGGGACCTAACGTGGCAAAAGAATTCAGAGATGGAAGAAAACATCAGTTTACAACATTTGAAAAAGATGCAGATTCACAGAGATGTCTCAATGATCCTTTGTGCAATAGAAAACAACAGTTTGGCCTAAAGGGCTGCTCCGGTATTTTTGAATGTGCTCATCAAGAATTCATTAGTCTCTTTAACAGAGTATCGGATCCTATCAGGGTGGATGAATTTAATCGGCTAATGAAAAAGTATTTGCAACAAGTTGTACATAACTTCCATCACTGGAGAGAACTAGAAAACTTCATTGATAAGTTTTTTCATAATGGGGTATTTATACATGACCAGATGCTCTTCACTGATTTTGTTAATGATGTCAAGGATTACCTGGAAGATATGAAGGAATACCAAAATAATAATGAAAAGGTTTTTGAGGATTTGGACAAATACATCTACAGATACTACTTTCATTATGATAATTCACCTCAGTATGGACCCAGGTTTGTTTCCATGTTTCCTGAACTTAACACAAGTAGCCTTTGTAAAGTCAACTAGTGTCTCTTTCCTAATAGGCAGTCTTCTGGTGTGTATGTATCTTGTAGGTTGCATGTGTGTCTGTGTGCATACACACGCTAGAAGATTTTCTGAAGGGCTCAGTAGGAATACTAGATTGTGTTAAGTGGATCTGTAGTACCCTGTAAATCTTGTGTGTGGGATGTTAGTCTGGGAGGCACTACAGATTCACTGTATGCAACACAAGCTAGTATTTCTATTGAGGTTTTCAGAAAACCTTGTAACTGCAAGTGGGATTACTTTAGATTGAACAGCTATGATTGCTTGTCTGATGGATTGAATAACTATCTCAGGAGAAGCATTAACTAGGACTTCCTTGTTGTCCTTCATTGAATGACAAGGTTTTGGGATATATTTGAGTGGTCTCAAAGTCCCATTCTAGCAGGGATGTTCCTTGCTGGCTTTTGAGGAATTTTGCTACTCTGTTCTAGCTTACTGTAATAGTGAATCTGTGTGCTCAGAGCAGAGCTACTCAAATGGTAGACTTTTGTTCAGATTCTGACCCTAACTAAATTTTGTTCAGACTTGCTTACAAAGGTCCTTGCATGAATTGGTTCCTACATTACTTTGCCATATTTAATGGTATTCTCAGGGCTTCTACAGAGCAGTTGTGATGTGCTGCCTGACTGGCCCAATGGAGCTAGATGTGGTAGACTCTTTCTACTGCATCGACTTTGCTGAAAGAAAATTAAGCATGCATACTGTGTAGAACTTGCTCTTTCTAGAACACCTGCGTATGTTTTATGTGGCTTTTAATATCATTGCTATTACAAAATTGGCTATATAGTCTCTTGTGCTACTGTTTATTCTGATCAGGTAACTAATGTATAATACACAAGAAGTTGTCCTTGTAGACATAATAGGACTTTTCCCTGTGCTGGCATTCAGTGCAAAGCGTATTTAGTATTTAGATCGAGGTGCAGCTCCTGAGTCAGGTTTCTCTTCTGGACTTATTACTTCATGTGTTTATTGCAGCATAAAATGAACATTTAGCCACTTTGGGGTCACTAAGTGATTGTCAGGTAGTACTTGTCAAAAGTTCAACCATGAGGATGATACTCCTAATATCAGCTACCAAAGAGCCTTTTTAATATGCGGTTTTGGCAAACATATGGTGTAAGTTTTCTTTTTATTTATAGTCTGAATATTTTATCACTAAAATGAAGTTTGTTTTTAATTAATACTTAAATTTTAAGCATTTTAATTCAGTTTGCAGAAAAACAGAACTTACTCATTTCCTTATAGCATTATACAGATGTTTGTGTGATACTGAGGATGAAAATAGTCTTGATTTAGTTTAGCAGAAGGCTAGAGATACTGGTCATATGGTAACAGCATGTAGTATAATTGCACTGTTTACATCAAAAACTGCAACAGTGAGCATCAGTATTTTGTCAGTGCCCCCTCTCTCTGCATAAATGTAGTTATTGTATATGAAAATCCCTGAAGGGCCCATGGTGCATAAAGCATGCTTCCCTGAGGGTTTGTGAAGTTTTTCATTATTTTTATAGAGCAGAATAGAATAGAGCAACTGAAAAACAGATTGAGACCTTACTCAAGCATCACAGAAGGGGTAATCAAACAGCTGCTTACCTGGCTTTATTCTAAAAAGAACTTTGGGCAAGCAGCTGCAAAGCATTTTTCTTTCAAGAAAGGATTTTTTTAAATGTACCACCTTATTGATGATTTCAACAAACAAATACCACCCCCACCCCCCATTTTGCTTACAAGAGAAAGGACTACTTTGATACTAATTTTAGGGGGTTTTCAGTCATACTCAGCATGTTAAAAGCTGTTCTTGGCAATGTAACTGTGTTTGAAAATGCTTTTAGAGATGCCTTTTGTAAGACTGGTAATAAGCTTTTGTTTACTCCTTGCAGTCGACCTAAAAGGCCTTCTTATACACAAACTGAAAATTCCAGACATGAAAGACAAGCTCAGAAGTACCACCACCGTAATAAAAGAGAAGGTAAATGGCAAAAACATGGTCGCACTAATGGAAGACACATGGCAAATCTTGAAATAGAATTGGGGCAATTACCCTTTGATCCCAAATACTGAGTAATTTATGGTAAAAATGAAATCAGAATTCACATCCTCTCCAGCAACTAATTGTTTTTAAACAAAGCAGCAAGATGCAAGTTCTTTTCTCTAAATAATTTGATTTTTACAAATTTTTGTTAAAAGGCTGAAGTCAAGCTTTCCAGTTTGCATATTCTGTACTGTTGCTTTAACTGTTCTTTGGAAGCGATAGTTGGGTGCCAGCAGCATTGTTCCAGAAGTTAGGCATGCAGTGACTTGTGTGTGAAAAATACGCTTAATTGCATTCCATTAGTGTAGTTCAAGCTTGAGTCATGCATAATGTACCAATAATTAACTCCAATGTTTGATATACTAACTTCATCTCATCCTTCAAAAAATAGGTCTTCATTATGGCTACATTACGGTAATGTATTTGTTAGTGTTTTGTAATCTTACACTTGCTTCTTGTCTTTGGGGGGGGGTGTTCAAGAGCCTGTTGAATTGTGAAGAATTTGCTCTGCTGCATCCTAATCAGCTTGCTGATTTAAGCACTTGAAATGTCTTGCCTATCTGCATATTGTAGAACAAAATAAAGAGACATTGTGGGTAGAAGTGTTTATTTATAAAACAACCTAGCATAGCTGTACAGTGCTATAAAAATGGTCCAGTCTTGTCTGATTTTTTTATTGCTTAAATAGTCATATGGCAATTTCGGTCTTCCTAATGTTTTCCAGTGTTATAATGTAGGTCAGTAGCCCCACCCTGCCACACTACTACTGTAGTTGCCTTCAAGAACACGTTTATGTGTTTCCGGACAGGCAATGGCTGCCTGATCAGACTTCCCCATTTGACTTACCCAGTTTCAGACTCACTACGCGCTCCGTTCTGAAGTACAACATCTTCTAAGCATAGTACTGCTACACAAAACTGATCTCATTTGGTCTTAAGTCTAGAAACAGATCTTCAGGTGTGATTCACTTCAGTATTTTTCCTGTAGATGTAGATGTGGCTTCCAGTTCGTCCTTGAGGAATGTGAGTGTGAAAGACAGTGGCTGTTTTCTCATAGCCCTTTAAAGCTAGAAATGATGATATTTCCTGTAAATGAAAACACATTGGTTTCCACAGTCAGAAAGCACAGCTGGAAGCATCAGAATAGTATTCCAGACTCCTCTGAAATTATCAATTCAACTGTCCCCTGGAAGTTTTATCTTTATTTTAAGAAAGACTACTAGAAAAAAGAGGTACGAATCCTGATTGATCCTATCCAGTGTGGAAATTTAGACACCATTGAACTGAGGCAAAAAGGTAGTCTAACTGCAGGCATTTTTGCTTGCCACTGTTGCTTACTTAAAAGTGCATGGTTCTGGGAACAGACTGCATATTTGGTTTAATATGACTTGAGAAGAATTCTGTAAAACATTATGGCATCTAGACACAGCACAGAGGAGATTGCATACACGAATGTGAAGTATATATATCGCTGGAATGGTATCTGTATTACAGACTAGACGGTTTAGTTTTAATTTAAGCTGTTATAAAAAGTTATGGACAGCAATTTCCAAACTATAACTCCTCCTTAATTTATTTTGTATCTTCACCTTAAAACTAGTTTGTTTGATTTTGCAGTTTCCATACCTGTTCTAGCACACTGAAGAAGATCAAGTGACTGGGCAATAACGTATCATTGTAAAACTCCTTATTAAGCCAACCAAGTGGATCAGAGTAAAATACATCTGCTTCATCAATATAGCTCTCATTTCCAGTTAGGTCTGGGGGACACTGAAGGAATCTCATTTTTAGAGGACAGTGAACATGACTAGAGAGACAAACAAAACAAACATTTCGGAATAAACTGACCAGTATCTAAGATTTGAAGTGACTCATCACTTAAAGATACCTCAGTCAAAGCCAAAATCAAATACTTAGTTTTGGTTGTTTTTTTTTTTTTTTTACCCCCGAGTCCCATTTTCTTCCCTCTGTACTTCATATGAAAGCAAAAGTAGAACAAGTGGATTCACCTCCAAACTGTTGTGACTATGTTATTAGAAGTTCACAGAAAGCAGATTTATCTTAATAAAAATACCATCTGCATAACATCAGTTTCTTGAAAAGGTACTTTTCCAACCAACTTCACTGTTTGTATCTGCTTTAACATTTGTTTACTTGCCAAGATCTATTACAAACTTTTTGGAATAATGACCTTGGTCATTGCATGTTGTAATTACATTACTCTCTAGCAGCAGAAGTTAAAATTAACAGACTGATTCTAACAATTACTCTTTAGCTTTGCTACAGATAAAAGAAGTATGAATTACTTTCAGAAGTCATAAGACTAACTGTATATCCTCATACAAAGCTATTTTACAAAAGCTGAATAAAGCTTAGATACTAAATTTTATTCTGTGGTATAAGCATTTGGCCTATTTCCCCTATTCATTCTATATTAGCTGTATGAAAAATTAAAACTTCCTGTATAGGTCTATCCTTAGGAAAAAAAAACCACCTAAATTTCTGCTTAAATGTATGGATTTTAATATAGTACACCGTTAACTATTTTAATACCTGTAAAATGGAGTAGAGTGGCACGGCATCATGAAGAAGACAAAAGCTTGGGACTGGTAAGAGTTATTACAAAGTTGCTGTATGTGGCTCATAACATCAAGAGGGCCTCGCTGGTGAATCAAGCCTGTGTACAGGGCTGGGACTAAGTTTGATAAAAGCAGGAAACTTGCTGCAGATTTCTTCCATGCTTTCAAGTGTTTCAAGGAATATCCTATAGAAACATTTGAGAAGGTTTTAGAAAGAAAGACAGTTCCACACAATATTTTTGAAAGTATCATGACTTATTAAAACCCCATTACTTGGTTGGTAACAAAATACCTTGCTTTGAGGTAATTTAATAGTGTTCTTGGTCTTTGCTCTTTGAATGGGAATTCAAAGGTTAGACTTTGCCTTTATTAACTACTGTATTTAACAGTGTAAATGTTAAGCCCATACCTGTTTTTTGAAGTACAGAGGTATGATCTCAAAGCCAGTGCTTTGTCTCTTTAGAGCTTAAATTTCTTGTAGGGAAAAATAGTCCATTCAGTAGTTTGGATGAATGATATGTGTTGACTTATTGATGTGTTCTGATTCACTCTTGTGCAAGTAGAGCCAGAATAAATGGCAACTACACGTGCTTTGGTATGGCTGTGGTGGTCTTCCTTTGTTACTTGGTTTTAGGCTACTATCCTTAGGCTTACCCCTCTATCTTTTCCCATCTTTCATCCCTGCCCTTTCCTCCCCGCTTTTCTTGAAGGAGCCAATACCAGGGTGAGACATTTCTTCTGGTGGGAGATAGCTGTATAAACCTGTTTTTCACAACCACAACTTAGATGAATCTGGCACAGAAGGCAGCTTCATGTTGCAGCCAGTGTGGAAACACTCATCAAGTCATGTGCTTGTCAGTATTAGGAGATAAAAATATTGTATGCAGCCTAGCCCCGTGACCACCTTTAATGAATCACAGAAACAAGTTAGAATAGGCCTGTTTCAGAAGGCAGTAACAAGTAAGTTAAGTTAGCCTTCAGCTGGTCTGTTCTGACAAATTGCAGATCTTAATCTCAGGTGAAAACAAAGTCCCCTATTTAGTCTGTGATTTAAGCTCAAGTGGAAATATTGTATTATAGGCAGTTTTTTTACTACTTCTGTGAAACACTCTTAATTTAATTGTGCTTGGAAAAGACTCCAAAATTCATGTGGGTTGTTTTTTTTCCTGCTTTTATTTATAATGTTTTGAGCACTTTAAAGACTGCTTTGTAACCACTGAGTTACCAGAAATAACTTTAGTTACTTTTTTCTTTACTACAGGATCCAAATGTGATTAATTAGCTCTTGAGAAATTGTGCAGATCAGTGCCCTATAGACATGAAAGTTGAGGGATATTAACAAACAAATGTGGTCTGATTGGAATTTTTTCCGCATGTGAGGTAGAAATGGTTCATCTTAAATCTGCTCTTGAACTAAGCCAAGACATATTACGTATCTGAGCTCATCAGAGAGCAGGATTATTGAAGTAAGATTTACTTTTGTTTAGACTAGCCAAGCAGGTTAAAGAAAACTACAGATTTCATTGGTTCATCTGTTTTGAACTTGTATTTAAACTACAGCAATGCAGCTTCATGTTTCAGAAGTTTTAATCTTTCCTTTGTAACTTTTCAGCATCCTAGACTTTACGTCTTTACTTTTCCTATAGATACATTACTGTAGTTAATACCTAGTTTTCTTAAATATAAAATACTTCTGGCACCATCTACTAACACATCTGGATCTATCAGTGATAATTTTAAGTTTTGAATACTTGGTTTTAATCAATACTCAAAGGCATTTGTTGAGTGTATTTGAGAGACTTGGGTGGAAAAATACTACAAAGGAGACAGGGAACAAAATTCACTGCGAGGGTGTCATTGCTACAAAGTTAGAAGTCACTGAGGCAATTTCTGTATTATTTTATCCGTGCTAAGGATTCTCCATCTGTGCTTCTGTCACACTGTTCCTAATTTTTTTTAACTTTCTTTTCCTAGCTGTAAGAAAAGGTTGGGCTAGTTTTAAGAATCCTTGTCAAATACCTACATTGACTATTAATGGTCTCTCTTTAGGTAAAAATTCTATACAGGGAAGGTTGCAAGATATTTGAAAGGATGCTTACCACAAAAAAATATGCAAAATGGCAGTACTGGGTAGATGAACCTGAATTCTTTGTGGCTCAGTGTGCTGTAATAAAACATACCAACACTACAGTGAGAAAGTTACATGCGTCAGTTCTGTTGACAAAATGTGTTTTTTAGAGCATGGAGGGCTTGATGAAAAAGCACCTGCATGTACTAAAAAGCTTTTGGTATGGCAGCAGTTTAGAGTAAAAATCCAAATTGTCACTTTTTAAGAACATAATGAGTACATTCAGTTAAAGTGTTACTTTAAACCAAGCACTAATAAAATTACCTGGCTACTACTCTAGCAATTAAGTGGGCTGAATCTATGACTGCAAGATGCAACTTAGCTAGCACTTCACCAATTTGCTTTCTGTAATAAAACACAATAAAAAGTGTGGGTGAGAAGCTAAGATTCAAGTACACATATCTAACAAAGTAAAATTCACCTCTGCTAATACAACTTGACACAATTTCCCAAGCCAACTTAGGAGATACTTTGGGGATTACTGCAAGACTCATGTCAGGTAACTGAACAGGTTCTTGTAAAACTGAGGGAGTAAAAAAGGCCTAAATCCAATACAGCTACACCCAGTTCTGAGTCAGACAGTAAGAAGAGATGGCATTTGCGGCCTTCCTGCTGTTTTGCTGTATTCTGCTAATATGTAATCTAATATCATTTATCACTTTGTATTATTTGGTATTTATTAATTTGCTGTATCTTTTCTTGTCTTAGTGTCTCTCATTTAATTCAGATGCTTAGAAACAGTTTACCTTTTCTGTACTTCTCACCTTAAAATGAGATCTACAGTCAGTCATATGACAGATTTTAGCAGCTGTGTGTAGACTTCTGAATAGAGTAAGTTTTAGAGGCCTAAGAACACCTCATCTTACTGGGGAAGTATTAAAGAACCAAATGCAATGGTATTTTTGTTAACAGTAAATATATAGTTATCTAGTAAATACAGTTTCCTAACTAGTTCTATTATTGCTTAAACACCTGTTAAGTGCTTGGTTGTGTTTGTTAGGGTTTGGGTCGTGTGTCCCCCCCCTCCACTGTATCTGATGCAGAAGTACTTGATTCTGTAAGGGTCTAATCAATTCTAAAAATGCATGCTTGGTAGCAATACAAGAAATAGGATTACGTAAAATTCTAGACACTATTGAATAACTGGCTGCATTTCTTGGAGTGTTTGAATAGTTCAAAGTTTTCTATCACTTAACCTGAATGCCGTGCTTTTTGTGTTCTAGGGGTGACATTAGCTTTGAAAAGAACACAACCAGTGAAAGACAATAGTTACAGATTTAGGAGAAATTACCTGTACACCAACACTGTCCAAATCACTGCCACTAGGAAGATGCGATACCTTTTTGGTGCCAACACACAGCCATGAATAAAAAAAGGCAGATGGGTACCCAAGATGACTGGTAGTCCCTGAGTGAAGTACCAGTGCCAAGGATGAGATCCATAAAATGTTCCAAAATTTTGCAGCACGTTGAATTTCAAGAAGTTCAGCTGAACCAGTACCCACTGGGAGATTTGGGGGAAGGGGAGAAGTTAAATACAAATCCAGAATGAAAACCAGCAGCTAAATTGAATTACAGTTATCACTGGCCTTAAATGATACAGTATTTTCATTCATACTTACTTTCTACTAGGACTTGTCACACAGATTTCCTACATTTAGCAGTTAAACACAGGCATGTGTAAGTTTTGTAATTTGTGGGTAACTGTTGATTTATTGAGAGCTGAGCATATACCAACTTTAAGTAACAGTCCATCATTTAAAATAACTGAATAGTCAGTGTTTAAGGAGGTTTATGGCTTAAGATGTATTTAGAGGCGATAGGCCAAATATTCAGAGAAGTAACAAGTTAGAGAAGTCTGAAAAATCTGCCTGTGTTAAAATGCTAAAACCCAACCTTCTCCGTGTAAATCAAATTTAAAACAACTTACCTCACCAAAAAACACACGGTCAATTATTAAAGAGGTTCCTATTGTGACCAATCTGCAAAAATGGAAAGTTGGTTGCACTGATATTGGTTGGATTGCTTTTGCACCAGATTCTACTCTTCTCCAAATAGCTGTCAAAACTCCCTCATTCCTAATCCTTTTTGTGATTATCCATACTTGTGGCCATTGGCCATCACCTGGTATCCTTGGCACAATCCCAGATAAAGCTGGAATGGTGTTCGTGGCTTGCCCTCATGAAATCTCTTCTAGTGCTGTTTTGCAATGTATACATTAATTGAAAGGAAGCGTGCTCCTTCTTTCAGCTTTTGCAAAGGATCCTATTTTTGTCCTTGTTTATTGAATCAGATTTTTTTGGTTGTCTGCCTTTGCAGTAGTGAAATTAGTCTTAAAATACAGCTGTGCACAGTCCAAGTTTAAATTCAGAAAGAACTTACCCTACTGGAATGCAGCTGTGTAGGATAAAGTCTGCTTTCCTCTGTTCTTGCAAAAAATGACTGAAGACCAAAGGTATCCACGGGATAACAGCAGTGGGACGAATAATAATTGCAAGTGCTATCAAAGCTAAATATTTGCAGCTAGAATGAGGGAACATAAGAAAAACATACCTTTACCAAAAGACTTGGTCAGTTCTTTTACAGACGGTGAAGTCTCAACAACTTAAATATCATCATGTCTCTCACCAAAGTTTTTCATGCTGCAAATACCTCTTGATTCTCTCAGTGCAAATACTCTTGTATCTTGCAGATACAAGAGAAAAAAAGATAACTTTTCCTTGGAAGGCTTCCAACTACATAACTGCTTTATTTGCAGTGGATTTGCTAACTAGAAGCACATACTTGCTTAAAATAGATAGCTGGTAAGGAAAGTAATCGCTATGAATTCACCTGTATCTGAACCCAAGCAAGCTCTAGCTATCTTTTCCTGAGTTACCACAAATTCCAATCCTTTAAAGTCCACTTTAAAGTTTTCCATAAAGTAGTAATTTGCACAAGGGAACTGGATAATAGTTATTTTAAATACCAGCTCTATCATGGCTTCAATTTAGAGGAAATACAACTGCTCTTCCCCCCAGTGATCTACAGCTCTTGCTACAGGAATCAGGTGATTTTGATTGCCTTACATTTTAAGATAAAAGTTGGCATTTTAAACAGTGTCAGCAGATTAGTGTTATTCCAAGCCAAAAAATTATCAGTACTGTTAGTAGAAAGCTGCTCACCTGCTCCCCATCTTCGAACCTCTTATTGGATAGTATGAAAGTGCAAAAATGGTAAGAAGAGTTTCCATGGTGTTTGTTAGAGTTCTGGTACAGGAATACCATGTAAACCAGGAACACAGCTGGCAGAAGTACTGAAAATAATGATGAACAAACTTATGCACAGGGAGAAAAGTTAAATACTGTTGTTTAAATGAAGGTGATAATGCTTGTTCTGGAGATAATGATAAATGACTGTCATTTTGCTGTTGTTCACACTGCAGCAAACAGTGTTTATTAACATGCATAATTGTTTTTAAAAGCTGAGACTCACCACCCACTTGGCTGTTTCTGCATTTTCAAGGTGTCGTGCTAGTGAGTAAAGCTTCACATCAGCAAAAGCTGCCAGCACTGCCTGTGCAAGTCTAGGGACCCAGATCTGTGTCATCAGAGAGAAAGTTTCACTTGCAAAAAACCTGTTCACTTCCAAGTCTGAAGAGAGGGCTACTGAATTAGTGACTGACTGTTCAGATATGAAAATGGTCAATCAGTGAATATTCACTATAGCTTTTTCCCATTTATTTTAATAGTAAGATCCTTTGGTTAGAGTAGCATTTCTGCTAAAACAAAGGTACAGTTCAACTGAAAGTGTTTAGAAATTAGAAATAAAAATTTTTGCCATTTATCTCTAATGTAATCAAAAGGGGCTGTTTTTAGTGAGCTTAGTAGAAATATGTATTATTAAACACTTCAGAAAACTGAACCACTAATTATGATGCAGTGACAAACAGTATCAGTATGAAATTCAGGGAGAGATGGAGACCAAGAATGATGCTCTGCAGTCACAGGCATGACTGCTGTGATGGGAGACCTATGAAAGCGTTGTTTACTCATATGAAATGCTTCTGTGAGGTCTCTGTGCTCAGACATCTCTAACTGCCAGATTCAAGGCTTTGTCTTTTACCTGGGCAATGATAAACACACACTGAATTTTAAATGCAATGCTTTTAAATTTAATTGCAGTAGCAGATGCACTCACCAGCAGCTGAACATCATCGCGAGCCAGCAGCTGCAAAGCTTTGTAGATGCCTGCAAAGATAAGTGGGTACGAGTAGCTCCTTAAGCCATGTGCCCATTCCCAAGTGAGGTGGCCATAATTGTTAATGTTAAGGACAGACACGCACAACTACAGTTAAGCTTCATTCGAGCAGCGCTCTTCTCAGACCTGCCCGGGTGGAGGCGTCTACCTCTGTGCCTAAGAGCTGCGGGGTCCCGAGCGCTCCTGCCGCGCTCAGGCGGTGTGAGGAGCGGGGAGCGGGGAAGGATATTTGAAGACCACGCGATGCGCCACCTCCAGCGCCTGCCAGTACTCGTCCGGAACGAAGCTGGTCTGCACAAGGAAGCAGTTGAGCGTCCGCAGCGCCACCGCGAGAGCCAGCAGCCGCGCCGGCCCGCCCGCAGCGCCTGCAAGGGGAAAGGCTGTCAGTCACGGGTCCCGCTGGGGCCACCGCTCCGCCGCCTCGCCCCGCTTACCTGCTCCCGCCCGCCCGGCGGCTGCGCCGGGGTCGCTGTACAGCACCGACCGCCGCTTGCGGAGCCGCACCGCTTCCTTTCGCCGTCCCCGGTCCAGCAGCCCGCCAGCAGCAGCCATGGGCGGAGCGGGGCTGCGGCAGCTGCGCATGCACCGCCTCCGCACCGCCGCCACTTCCTTCCGGTCACTCTAGCGAGCGGGAGGCCTCGGCTCTGTGGTCTCCCTGCCTCCAGGTGAGGGGCGCCGGGGCTGCCACGGCGCTGCTTGGGGCCGTGGACCGAAGCGCTACCGGGCCGGGGCTCGCCGCGCTCCCTGCCGCGCTTCCCGCCTCGCCTGTCTCCGCCTGGGGGCGAAGGGCCCGGAGAGGCGTCGCGCGCGCGTGTGTGGGTGCCTCAGCGCCGCCTGGCGACATGTGGGGCCGGCTGCCGCTGCCGCAGGTGGCCCTGGCCGTGGCTCTCGGCGTAGTCAGCGGGCTCTACATCTACCGGCCCATCTTCCAGCCGCCCGGGCCGGAGCAGTCCCCTGACGGCACTGCGCGGTCGCCGGCGGTCGCCGCGCCGGAGAAGAGGCCCTGAGGGACTCGTGTGAACCGTGCCGCTGCCCTGGCGCCGCTCCCCGGTACCGCCTCCAGCGCAGGCCCGCGCCTCCCGCTGAAGGAAATGGCGCCCACGCCCCCCAGCAACTGGGAGTGTTCGTCGCCTGCAGGGGAGCGGCCCTGCTTCTGCGGGTGGCTTCCTCCGGGCTCGGCCCCGCTCTGAGGCGATCCGCCCTTTGAATGTGTCGCTGCGTACGTGTGCGTTTGGTACCAGCCTATAGGGACGTGAATGTCGAAATACACATAAAATTCTGAGTGTTCAAAGGTATGTCTTCACGTCTAAGTTTAAATAACCGCCGGGGAACTGGAAAAAGAAACTGACTGTTGTTCAGTTACACTTCACGGGGTTCTGGGATTGCCTCTGATCTGATCCTCCAAATGATTTACCTCCTTGTCACAGTTTCAGTTCTTAATACTTCATCTCCTTTGAAAATGCAGTTGTGACTGAAGAGGGAACTGCACCCAGCTTTGGTGTCTTTAGCTGGTACCTGTACACACGCACATACGCACATGTACCACGCACGTATCTTTCATTTCTGACAGAATGAGGTTAGGGTGGCTATTTTGTAGCTAAGGTTGCCTGAAAGGTTGCTCGTGGAGAGGTATTTCAGCGTGTAGCTCAGTAGGACACTGCTCATCTTGCAATAGGTTTGGATCAGTCTGACAACAGAATCTGCAACTCAGACTACTGAGATCAGTAGATACGAGAAGACTTTATAGTCTATCTAAAAAGAAACAAACTGCCGATCTTGGGAGGAACTTCTCTTAGATTATGGTTTTTAACACAGAATCTTGTTTCGGGCAGCATGAGGTAAGAAATCCTTTCCAGGATGTGCTTTCATTTAAAGCCAGGAAAGATGCAACAGCTGTAGGCAGACTTTACAGAAGCTGAGGTGAGAGGGCAGCAGCAGAAGGTGGACTGGGAGGTACAGTTGAGTGTGTGATAAATCCTGTTTGGACACAAGGAAATGTCAGAAGTCTGTGGTGAATGGAAACACACAACTGCAGTGGTGACTCCAGCAGCTTCCTCTGTTTACCAGACCAGTACGTATTGAGAAGGCTGTTTTAAAGAAGGTGTAACTGAAGCTCAGGAGGCACTTTCTTTGTAACCGTAATTGCTGGATGGCAGTTGATTTTGAAAAGTCCCAACAAACGGGCTGCCCGAACTGCTGCAGACAGAAAGGGTTATTGCTGCAGCGAGCTGCAGGCTCTGCTTGCCGGGTTCTGGAGACTGCCGGATGTAAAGTGTGCTAATGGAGTCGAGGAGGCGCTTTCCTCTTCCGAGGGCAGGCAGCCAGCAGGTGGCAGGAAGAACTCGCTGGATCCACGGTGAGGGACGGGAGCCTGGCAGCTCCCGTTTTCCTTTCTAAACCTGCTTTTCCTCCTGAGTTTTTCTTAGCGGCGCTTGACCTTTCAGAAAAGCGGGGGGAGTGCGGCTGGCGAGCAGCCTCCTTAACGTAAACCGGCCTTGGCGCAAGGCAAGCGGCGTGCAGCGCCGGCCTTGACGCTCAGAGGTAGCTCGCTCCGCTTCCTCGGGGCGGAGGGGCCGGGCCGGGGCGGTGCTGCCGGAGCTGCCCGCGGCCGGGAGGGGCCGTGCTCGCCCTGGGCCTCACGGGAAGTGATGTTGCCTTGACGGAAAAGTCACGCTTGCAGTCCAAAAAAGGGCAGGTGCGGTGGGACGCGGCGCTGCGCAGCCCCGGTGCCCGGGCAGGGGATCAGGTAGGAGGGCGGCGAGCGGAGCGGAGCGCAGGGTCTCGCCGCCCAGTCACCCTCCGTGGGGGCCGCTGCAGGAGGCGCGGGTTGGGGGTGGCTTCAGAGAAACATCGCTGCGAAACGGGTTAATAATGTCGGGATAAGTGGCTCGGGTAGGAAGCCCGAAATACTGGGGGAAAAGGGGGTTTCCCGGCGCTGCAGGGCGTGCAGGGGAGCGGGACAGTGTGGCAGGGTCCGGCGGCAGTGGGAACCAGCGGCGTGGGGGTTGGAACAGTGGGCCCTCGTTTGTGATATTAGGGGAAGAAGCCTTAAGCCTCGCTTTTCGGCTGCCCGTGCGAGTGCTTAACTTGGCAGCTGCTGCCATGAGCACGGGTGCACCAAGAACCCCTCTGAGGCCGCCGCAGGTAGCAGCTGTGGCACCTGCAAGTTTCCCACGGCTCGAGACGTGCATTTCTGATGTAAAAAAGTGGATAGCAGGTCTGATTTAAAAACCAACAAAGCCTTTTAAAAAGCTGAATTGCTAAGGGAGCTGTGCAAGTGTATTTTATGTGTTTACCCAGAGCTTAAAGCTTGTATTTGAGTGTCAACAGATCTGTTGCTTCTTTCTGAACACTGCATGTTTTGTCTGACAGAGTCTGCTTGCTGAGAGGGTTCAGGACGTCTCTTCAGCCTGAGTTGCAGTGCTTGGGATAAAGTAACGCTTTGATGATCTTGGATCTAAAGAAAGCTAAATTCATCAGAAATACGTCTTGTTTCTTCTAGCCCTGTAAGTAACTACATTATATTAATATGTAAGTGGTATTTTTAATGGTGCTAGCAAAGCATGAAGGATCACCCAACTTCAATTTTTATCTCTCCTTAGAGATGCATCAGATGTATTTTGAGCTTTCTGATCCTGTGACTCCTCAAACACTTTCCCTAATGATTAGTGCTTATGAGTTTTTCATCAGGATAACACATACACATGTTTGGATATAGGAGTTCTGCTAGGTGTTACTGACAAGCTGATTTTTCTCTATACTTAGAGTTTTTGCTGAAACTCTAGAAAATGTTTATTGATTTCCACACATAAAATGTGTTAGTGGCACTACTCGGTCTATTCTGCCTGCCTTTTCCTGGAAGTTTATTCTTACATAGACTTGTCTTCTCAGCCCTTCTTTTCATAGACTGCTGTTCTATGTGACTGTTTCAAGTATTTTCCAGCCAGGGAAAGGCATAGAATACAATATGCATTTCAAATGCTGATGCATAATTGTAGGAATAGTATTTGTGATGCTAAATGGATGTCTCAAAAGCATGGTTAAAAGGATGGAAAAGAGAACAACGTGTTCCTGTGTTTCTAGTTCAGGGTTCTAGTTTTATGTCTGCTTAATCTCTTTAACAAAGGAGCTCTGGGTGGGGAGAATATGCTACAACTTACACTGTTGTTTTTGCAGCTAATAAAATTTCTCATCTGCAACCAGATATTGAAAACCAGACTGTAAGTTTGTTTTCATGACTATCGTTAAACATGGGAACACATTGTTTTATCACTTGACTACACATTTCCTTTTCTTTCAAAGAGAAGATTGGTCAGACAAAAATATCTTCAAGTAGCTTTTGGCATTTACAGAAATAAGTATTATGAGCAGTAATCTTTTTGTGTCTTCTTTGGATTCTTGGTTGTTCTGCCAGGTACCTGCTGTGCTAGCATAATGACCATTGGTGAGTCTTTCAGTTTTCAGCATAACCCTGAGCTTGCAGGTCAATGCCTTTACTAAGCACAGTCTTAGTGAGCAGAGGGCTAGTAAAGATTGGATTTAGAAATAGGCAACACTGGCACTAGAGATGGAATATAAAGAATGACAACTCTCCCCTGTTAATGTCTCAGCAAATAATTATAAAAAAGTGCATTTAAAATGTATTAAACTTATGATTTAAATAGTTAATCATCAGATATGTTTTTCTGTAGTAAAGCTGTGTTACTGTACTCAACTGCACATGTGATCAGGTCCTGCAGATAGTCAACTTTGTTCTTCAGTAATTTCAAAAGATTACATATTGATAGGTAAGCACTTGCTGGGCTGGGCATGTTGAGTGCTCAAGGACTTGCTTTCGCTCCTCATGTCTTGCCGATGCCACTCATGGTGGAAATACAGTCATGTTTACAGAACTGACTTCACACATAGCATGATGTCGAAATACAGTGTGGTTTAGCAAGTACTTAACCCAAAGGCAGCTTTTTATAGCAGAAACACTTTGTTTTTCTTTTCTTCCCCTCCTCCCTTCCCTCCCTCCATCCCCTCCCCCTCTTCCCCCCAGTCTTCCTCTGGGAACAGCATCATTTTCTTTTTGGTCTTAGTCTGAAAACTGCATCCCTGTTAGGAATCAGGGCTAACTTGAACCATGCTAAATTAGCTGAGATCATATCCTTTTATCTCCAGTGGAGGTAAAACTATAGTGAATGAGAAATTCTAGCCCCGCTTTCTTTCCTGTAACATCCTTATATTGTTTTGTTTTCACACATAATACAGCAGAACTTACTTTTGATTATTGATCCTGCCCTTCTGCTCTCCTCTCGTGAGACCTCACTTGGAGTATTGTGCACAGTTCTGGTGTCCTCAACATAGAAAGGACATGGAACTGTCGGAACAAGTCCAGAGGAGATCCACGAGGATGATCAGGGGACTGGAGCACCTCCCGTATGAAGATAGGCTGAGAAAGTTGGGGCTGTTGAGCCTGTAGAAGAGAAGGCTGCGTGGAGACCTCATAGCAGCCTTCCAGTATCTGAAGGGGGGCTATAGGGATGCTGGGGATGGACTCTTCATTAGGGACTATAGTGACAGGACAAGGGGTAACAGGTTCAAACTTTAGCAGGGGAAGTTTAGATAGGATATAAGGAGGAAGTTCTTTACTGTGAGGGTGGTGAGGCACTGGAATGGCTGCCTAGGGAAGTTGTGAATGCTTCATCCCTGGCAGTCTTGAAGGCCAGGTTGGTCAGAGCCTTGGGTGACATGGTCTAGGGTGACATGTCTCTGCCCATGGCAGGGGGCTTGGAACTTGATGATCTTAAGGTCCTTTCCAACCCTAACTAGTCTATGATTTTATGACTGTAATTAGTAGTCTCAACATCTGTGATTTAGTTTCCAGTCTAGTAAGCTTTGAAGATTAATTTATGCAATATAGATTAAAATATGACATATAACCAGAATTTTTTCCTGTGATGATGTTGTGGCTTCAATGAGTTGAAAATACTGTGATGTATATATGATAGTTTTGGGTACTGGGTGTTGGAATCCTTTTCACGTACTGGCCAACACTTTGGAGTTGACATGACAAGTTCTTCAGTATTTAAAACTCCTGCAGGGGAAAAAGAAAAGGCAAATATCCTTGATTTTTATGGCTCTGAAGATAATATAGAAGTGTAAACCAATACAGTGTTATTTTCCTGAGTTAGCAAACCCATTTCCCATTGCTGTTCCCTTTCTCTGTCTGATCCTTTTAGTGATGAGAAATTGGTAAAAAAACCCCATATTAGATAAAGGCACGTCTGGAAGATGATGGCTGGAAGT